ACTGACAAGGTGGTTGTCAAATGGCAGTGGTGGGATTCGAACCCACGCCTCCGAAGAGACTGGAGCCTAAATCCAGCGCCTTGGACCACTCGGCCACACTACCACGGCCTGCAACGGTGCAGCTGAGGTGGACCTTTATTCGTGATGGTTTGAGATCTTGTCTTTTTTTCCTTTCTATTATAACAGGTTGGAATTGGTGGCTTTGTCAGCAACCCTTGCAATCTTCACTTGAAGCAGTGTGTAACCTGTGGACAGACCCCCCCAAAAACAAACAAAAATGAAACAATCAAATGAGTAACTGAAGGGACATGACATTAGGCCAGAGTGGGGAAAGGATCACACCATTGGGAGGGGAAGGTGTGGATGGACGGGTGTAGCATGTCACTGCTGTGCTAATAGGCCAGTAAGCCCAAGGGTTAAGGCTTGGCCTTGTGTAATGATCTTTGCTGCTTGAGAGAGCGAGGCAAGTACATTTACCTCTTCAGTGGCTCATTAAGTCAGAGAAGTGATAGAGCTTTGAGCACAGGAGGTAATTTGAGTCAAGTATAAAACTGTGCTTGTCTTATGGCAGTGGTGGGATTCGAACCCACGCCCCCTGAGAGACTGGAGCCTTAATCCAGCGCCTTAGACCACTCGGCCACACTAGCTTGTTGCGCTCGACGCTTCTTGAGAGGTTTGCAGGTGCAGGGCATCTTGACATGTTTCGTGGATAAGCTGGGATTTGTAGGTTGCATCAACTGCACTTGCAATACTGACCCGGCTGATGCATAACCCAGTGGCAACCAAAGACTAGACTGACTAAAAGGGACAGCACAGACCCACGGGGGGCTACTGACTGCACGCTTAGCAGAGGATGGTTTCGATTCATCGACCTCTGGGTTATGGGCCCAGCACGCTTCCGCTGCGCCACTCTGCTCGTACTTCTCCAAAGAAGGGCCTGCACTTGTAATACTGACCCAGCTGATGCATAACCCAGTGGCAACCAAAGACCAGACTGACTAAAAGGGACAGCACAGACCCAAGGTGGGCTACTGACTGCACGCTTAGCAGAGGATGGTTTCGATCCATCGACCTCTGGGTTATGGGCCCAGCACGCTTCCGCTGCGCCACTCTGCTCGTGCTTCTCCAGAGAAGGGCCTGCACTCCTGTCCTATCTGTGTGTTCTGGGATTTAGGAAGAGGGCAATCCTTTGAGCGAATCCAGAGCCACGTGGATCAACCAACCATATTTGCAAAAAGCCTTTTCAACCAGTGAACCTTTCACTCCGGCTGGAAGGCGATTGAGCAAGTTGAGCAAAAGATGAAATTATTTCCTTTTTTTGAAGGACTAGCCAGTGAATGCAAGTTATCAAGATGGAGGTTTCAAAAGCTTTGTTGCACAGGATGATGGAGCACCCAACGGACTGGTACCCCAAAAATACCCTAAGCTTAAACTTCTTTCTCCTGGCCAATGCCTGAAATCCATTTGACCTGGCCTCCTTTAAAACTCCCTCCCATTCAAGGTCTAGTTTTCTGTATTCTCTGTGATGAACACGCTCCACATTTGCTGAGGCTGCTAAACTTGAAGTCATCAACAAGCTGTGACAGGCAATGGCACGAGGACACTGACAAGGTGGTTGTAAAATGGCAGTGGTGGGATTCGAACCCACGCCTCCGAAGAGACTGGAGCCTAAATCCAGCGCCTTGGACCACTCGGCCACACTACCACGGCCTGCAACGGTGCAGCTGAGGTGGACCTTTATTCGTGATGGTTTGAGATCTTGTCTTTTTTTCCTTTCTATTATAACAGGTTGGAATTGGTGGCTTTGTCAGCAACCCTTGCAATCTTCACTTGAAGCAGTGTGTAACCTGTGGACAGATGCCACGACCCCCAAAAACAAAGAAACAAAGAAACACCTTGGCTTTTCAAGGGTGTAGGTTCGCCATTGTGAGGCATTATTTTCAGCTCAAAAGAGAGAGAGACAACATTTGATTAGATGTTTTTTGCAACAAGCAACCCAGACTACCTATTTCCAAATATCTAGCTGATGACAAGTTTAGGTTTTCATCTGTACTGTATGAGTCACAACTGATTTTTTATCGTTGCTGGACTTTGCTTGACTTCCCTTTGAAAAATAGGTATTTTAATTCATGGTTAAAAGTCAGCTTACAATTTCTTTTTAATAAAATCTAAAAAAAAACATAAAAAATTAATAAAATAGTCAAAACTGCCCAGTGTTTACAGTTCATTTAATATGGCTATAGACGGTGTGCAGGTAAACACTGTCAGTTTGGATGAGACCTAGCTCCATTCACCTTCACTTCTCCTTGCACGTTAACACCCACATGCCTTTGCTAGTTACTCCTTACTCTCGTAGAATGCTTATACCAGTCTAAATCAGTCTAACTAATTTTACCAGAGAGCCTACATCCAATTTATCTTGGTTTTGTAGATCAACATACTGACAAACCAGGCTGTGCTACCAACTTACACCAGCACCTATTTACGTAGGTCGTAGAGCATCATAGCATTATGGCAGTGGACATGGATCTCAGCTTTACCTCCAACTAATAGAATGAGGCTAAACTGCAGCTAAGACACAAATATGTGCAACATTCAGACCTACATTAACAAAATCACAGATCAGTGATTTTGGGGCACTTGCAGTGGCAACGCTGGATTTTTTATTGACTCAACACACATATCCCTGAACCTTACTTTCTCATAACAACCAGTACTTCTGTTTTAACAGTGACCTTGTTAACCTGGTATGTGACATTGTTTTGTTTACAGTCGCTGATGAGCAAGATGTCTACTCTTACTAAAAACCTCTACTGTGACTTTTATTTGACCACTCAGGATCAATAAAAATAAATCCAAATTACAAAGCCACTCTAAAATCTGATTTTGTTACAATAAGGATGCCATCAGAGTGGATAAGCTTCAGGTGTTCTCCTGCTCTACACATATCTCTGTGTATATGGCAGCAGAAGTTTAAACTCTCTGTATTTTTATGGAATATAATTGCCTCTAATGTTTTCTTTGCGTTGATGCTTTTTTTTTTTTTTTACTGCTTTCTTTAAACTTTATTCAGAGCTCATATTATATTTTCCTATTTCCCTGTTGAACCGTACAACCTGCTACAGAAAGCCAATCTCCCTCCAGGGATCAATAAAGTTTTATCTTATCTTTAAAAACAGTGAACTCTCTTCTACAAATAAGAGAGGGACCCTGCTCTTCATCTCTCATTCTGAACTCTAGATTCATCTCTCATTCTCGATGTTTTCTTCTTTTAAACCCTTGGTTCTCCATCTCTTTCCTCACTCTTTCTCTGCTTCTCTAATGACTACAGTAATGAGGCTTTATCATCAGCCCTGACAACAGATGCCCTGAATATTCTGTCTGTAAATCTCTCCCTGTCTCTTTCTCTCTGCTTAATCTCCTCTTCCTCTCTCTCATTGTTGTGATTCTATTTCTTATCAGGCAGCTCACTCTTCAGCAAATAAGAGCCTCATTATTTTCCATCAGCATCTATCTCTCTCAGTCTGAGTCTAACATATTTGGGAGAGTCCATATAGCTATGTGTTTGGAGCGTGATGTTTGTCTGTGAGAAAGCACTGCAGGTATTCATCATGAAGGGAGCCATGTATAATAATCAGGTGATTATGGGTGATTGGAAAAGTGACTGGGCAAGCAGAGTCTAAATATGGACTGAGAGTTTAAGCTTTATATTAACCAGTTATGGTTGCATTAATTTACCAAGAATACTGATTTAATCCTAATTAAACCACCAAAGTATCAAAAGTTCCACCACAATTTGTCATGCTTCCATGGCAACAGTATTTTCTATCTATCTATCTATCTGTCTGTCTGTCTGTCTGTCCATCCGTCCGTCCGTAAAAATTCCTCAACCATAACTTTTGATTATGAGCCAAACAGCTCTTTGTTTGTGATTATTTAGTTTTTTAGTATCCTAATGTTTTTCTATACAGTACACAGGAAAAAAAACGCTTTGGCTTGTTCTGCAAACTTTTTGTTTCCTTCTGTTTTGTCATGTTACAGTTTTTCTCAGTCGCTTTGGTACATTTCTCGAATCATCCTTGCAAAACAGTAAGTCCTTTTCTCAAAACAATTTGTACAAATAGCAAAACACTATGGATTACCTGCAAAAGCCAGTCTCTTGCTCAAAATCCTTAGTACATCTCTCAAAAGTAAATATCTGTGTCAATGAACATGTCAGTGCCATCAGAATGACAAGTCCTTGAGTCATTGTGTACGGATAAGACAGTCGAATTGCTTAGTCATGTTGTCAATATAACAGTGTACTCTGGAGGGATGTTCTGATGTAAACTATGGCTAAAGTTTTGATGACAATCATTGTAAATTGTAAGTTACACCTCAGTGTATGTGGGAGATTGATTGCAAGAGACTGTAATTTGATGACAGACCATGTCATTGCGATACAGAAAAGAAAAAGACAGCACTGCAGAGCACAATAAAAAAAACAAAAAAACAAAAGAAGAAATGTGAACATAGGACAATTTCCTTAGGGAAAACTGGAAATGCAGTGCTGTAGGAATTACAGTACAGTCTTCCTACACCTCCTGATGTTCCTGTCTGTTGGGCAACAAATTCTTATCCACAAAATATCACTCATCCAAAATGTCACTGTATATACTATACTTACTGTATATTGTAAAATGAAAGTCGAATACTGCAATATTGTATGAAGCATTACAGAATGTATACAGTATTACAGTACAGTGCCTATTGTTAGATTACATACCTGTTCTGTCAACGAAAAGTCTGAATGATTGAGGACACAGTTGTTCTCCCAACATTTGGCTGCACCCTTCGGCCAGCCTCAGCCATTGTAAGCCCATGATTGAGAACGTGGTCTACAAGTGTAGCTCTTATCTCATCAGGAACGCACATATGTCCTCTGCCTCTTCTGCCTCTTCCTCTGTTTTGCCTCCCAACTCCTCTGCCACGCAGCCTCACTCCTCTTCCTTTTCTTCTCTCTGGCTGTTGACCCCGTCCAATTCCTTGTCCTTCCATTGTCAGAAATTGTAACATTGTGTTGTGCCCTGGCAATATATATACTTGCCAGTTGATGGTTCATGAGATGCACCTTTGAGCGATTTCAGAAAAGTGGTTGATCATTGGTTGATCTAATGCTTCACACATTTCCCACCGTTAGAGAAAGTCAAGATTCACCTGGGAGCAATTTACCAATTCAGGACAGATTCAAGAAACGTCTAATGGAAATGTATAGAAATATGCTTGACATATTATGACAGCTTGTTCAACCATTTTGCGTGTAAAGACTTATGCAATGAACTAATGCCTAAATGTTGTGGGGGGTGAGACTATTCAACAGAGACCCATTATAATACATTTTGATCAACATGACATAAGCAATTGATAATGTAGAAAACTGCAGAAAATTGTACATAATCATTTGCATGACTGTACCAAAGCATTTGCAAGTTGTTCAAAGAAATGAGAAACTGCTTTTTTAATGTGCACAAGTGGCACAATGATGTGAAAATTGAACACGTAGTTTTGAGAATTTCAATTCTGATCTGAGAAATGTACCAAAGCAACTGAGAAAAACTGTAAGAGGTTGACATTACAATGCTCCATATATTCATGTATATCAACTATGTATTTTGCAACATCTTTATAAGGCTAAATGGTGTGACTTCAATAAGAATAAAAAACATATATAAGTCAACTTTCTGCCAGTGATTTTCCGTAAATTGTCTTTCAATCAGAAGGTCTGGGGATTTGATCCCATGACCTGCTGGGTCCCTGCTAAAATGCCCTTGGGCAAGACAGATTTAGAAGTGTGTGAATGGGATTAGTCAAAAATTTATTTGCTCTATTGGCAGCCTTTTAACATTCATGTGTGAATATGGTGTGAATGGGTGAATGGGGCATGATGAACAAGCAATTTGAGTGGTCTGAAGACCAGACAAAAGGATGTACAAACATACTCCATTTACCATATTTCTAATGACACTGACTCAGTGGAGAGCAGCAGTGTAGAAAAACTTCCAAAACAGTAAAATATATGACCTCAATCTGCTTAATGTCCTGCCTCATTAACCATGATGAATTAAATATAACAGATATGTAAATGTGGTGATTAATTAAGTAAAATAATACATTTATGTGCAAATATTTCCATGTCAGCACACTTATCTTCACATAGCATATGTATGCAGCATTAATATATCACTAATTAGCAGATGTATGCAGAGTGGAGCTCCAATGTGTAATCTGTGTGGGTGAGGTTGGTTGTCAGCACAGCAGTTTGTCTCTGTGATTTAGAGCTCTGGATCATCTGTTCACTAAAAAAAAAAAAAAGTTTGAGAAATTCAGATAAATGAAACAACAGCGTTGTCCTTTTTCTAAAGGTAAAGCATGTCTTCAGTTATTTTCAGGTTTATGGTCAGTGAACAGTCACAATATTAGGATTATATCTAAATGAATTTAGTGGTTTCCAAATCAAAATAGAACAAATACAACACATTTAATGTTGAAACAACTGAATGTGGACATAGTTCATCCCTGCATCCACAAGTGAAGGTTAAAATTGAACTATGCAAAAAGAAAACAAGCTATAAATCTGATCCAGAAACACCGGAGACTTCAGAAGGACTGACAGGGAAGTGGACAACTGTCCTGAGGTTTGTTGAACCTAAAATCTGACAGTACTTTTGGAAATCATGGATGCAGCATAGTCTTGTTGGCCTAGCAGTTTTATCATGTGCCTCATATGTCGAGGCTGATGTCCTTCATGTAACGGTTGATAGTTTGACCCCTTGTCACAAGAATGTCTGGCTTGTTTTCATCTGAAGCAAGCATTTGACAGATACGTTTCCAAATTCCTACTTTTCCATTCAACGTGGTTTGCAAACTTGGAGTAGAGTGCAACATTACAAGAAAAGCTGCTATAATGTGAACATTGCAAATACCTGGGTCTGTTCTAAATACTCTAAAGGGGATTTATTCTGTTTCAACCCGGCCTTAAACAACATGTCACCTCTTCACATCAAACGTTCCTGAAAACACACAGTAAAATCTTTGAAGCTGACTGGTGGCCTTCATATTTGTCAGCGAGCTGCTGAATCAATCTTTTCATCTTTTTCTGTGGTTTGCTCTCTCTCTCTCTCTCTCTCTCTCTCCTTTATCTCTGCGTGGCCCCCAGATGTGAGGCGACTCAGCCATGAAGAGCCATCACTCGCTGTAAATGAGGAGGGTAAACCCAGCTAATCAGGGCTGTGAGGTGACAGGCCATTAATCCCCCCAAAAAGAAAACAGATATGATGAAAACCTGTCACTCCATCTCTCACACTTGACCCCCTCTCTTTCATCTAGTCTTCCCTCTTTCATTTCGCCACACATCCACCCGTCCTTTCATCTTTCTATCCGTCTGTTGCTGCCAGGAGAAGCAGGCCGGGCGCCCGGGGAGTTTTTATCCAGAATCCACAATCACCTCAGCTCCTGGGGCTGCTTCTGTGTCTGTGTGCGAGGACACTGGTCTCTGTTATTTTACACTCCATTTAGCTGTTTCTTCCTCCTTTTTCATCTCAGGGTTCTGCTCAGTAATCAGCCTGCAGTCTGATAAGGCTGCGATAAACCCAGTGCAGAAATCACATAATAGATCAGACATTTTGGGCCGGTTTGAAGGTAATTACCAGATCTTACCTTTTAATTCTGCTGGCAGCTCCCTGTGATCTGTGGAAATGAGGAGGAATGTAGCGTGAACCTGTTTTAATTGGTTTTTAGATGACTTTCACATGAACTGTGAAATTGTGGTAATCAACAGAAAGGACAGCAGCTGGATGGATTTCAACCAGAGCAGCAATGCTCCTCCTTACAGGTCTGAGAGAAACGGTTTGTGATTTCAGGTCAGACTTCGCATGGTGGATCTAATTTTTTAAAGAAAATAAATATCCAGGCTCTTTAGAGCTTCTTTGTTTACCATCCACTTAAGTCCACAAGCTTAATGTTGCAACACTGATATCAAGGGATGCATGATATTCAGCAACATACATACATACATTGACAATACAGGTTTAAAAAAATATTTGTACTTTGCAGATATATTTGTTCTTTCTCATTTTCATTTACTCATTTTCATTTTCAAATACTCTCATTTTCAAATACTTGAAAAAGTCGTTCTTAACCAACTGTTGTCCCACCCGGCTCAAAACTGCATTTTTGAAAAGTTCCAGTCTGGTACGAGTCACTGACATATGATGCATTTTGTTATTTTTTTATCTCTGTTTTGACTGATATTAAGCGTCAAATGCCTCTGATCATCCTGCAGACACAGTGATATGTGTAGAGTCTGTTAATTCAGCTCAGTATTCTTTTTCAGCAGCTTACACTGTTTATTTTGATGTTAGACATTTCCTTTGGACCATGGGCTGCGTCACTACTCTGTTAAAAAAAACAATGAGAGCTGAACTCTTCCTCTGAAGATGCTCTTTCATTTATTTTGGTTGAACTGTTTATGTATTTTGATTTCCAGAGATCCAGACGTGCTGTTGTTACCAAGTCTCACTCCTGATAGACTGTAGTTTTCTCTGGTTTTTAGCTCCCAGTTTACCTGTACAACCAGGTAACCACCAGGTAATCCCTCATCCTCTCTAGTTAGCTCAGTTTATGCTTTCCGTCTGTGCATCAATCATAATTAAAACAAGAATTGTGTGACGTTCTTACTTTTTACATTCTTTAAATATTGGTCAACTTTTACGGCTGTACATGCAGTTGAGTAAAAACTTCAATTAGCCCTGAAAGACTTTTACAGTAACATATAGGATGTAAATATCTTATTTTACTTTAAATTTTCCCATTAACAACATAAATCTTAGGTGTCAAATTGCTGCATTATATGTCTCATGTCAAAGAATCGTTAGAAGTTGATTGCTGAGAGGTGGATTAAAAAAGAATACAGTATTAGTCAGTCTCACCCTTTATTCACATTTTCCCTGATAGTGAGTGTTTATTCTAACCCACCAGTCGGCATCTGGGTGGATTCTGCACCTCACTGTGAGCGGCTGTTTGTCAGGGTCAGATAGTTGGAGGGCTCTGGGCTTACCATGGCAGTGGGCATTCGTGCTATCTCTGGCACAGCTTTTATTGAACTGTTTACTGAGAGAGGGAGAGTGACTGAAGAATGGAGTAAAGAATGGAGGGAGAGAGAAAGGGATGGGGGAGGGGAGGCGGCGGCTGTGTGGGCGTTTGATGCCCTCCATCTTTCTCTGTCAGCATGGTTTCTCCTCTGTATCTAATCCTGCCAGGACACCAGCTGCTCCCACAGTGGCACCACCTCAGGCCCAGACACTTCCTCTCACCACCTCTCCCCTCTCTCCCCCTCTCCCTCCTATCCCGCCCGGCCCGCTTTCTGGTGGGACCCCTGTGGCCATGCTGGGGTCTGTGGAGCCAAGTTCACACTGAAGGAATGATTGCAATGACAGTGGTGTTTCTTTGCTCGTCTGCAGGGAACAGCTTTGATCCCGTCTGCATCAGTGAGCAGCAGCGACAGACGGGATAATCGACTTGCTGAATGGCTGGACCAATCACAAGAGGCAAAGCATTCAGTGTTCAGAGTGTTTCTATTCCTGTACAGCATCTTAAGACACTTTAAAGGTAGTCTACGAGTGAAAGACAAACACAAGAAGCAACCTCAGGTGTTAAAAATGCAGCACATGGAGAGCTGCAAAAAAACTGCAGTCCTTCAAGTGACCACTGGAGGCTGTCTGTAAAAGTCGAGGAATTAGATTTTATGCTGAATTATTCATCTCTTTGAAAAAACAAAAAAACAAAACAAAACATGTTTACAGCCTGGATTTGGTTTCATCAGCTTCTTCACATAAAACACGTTTTTTGTAAGGGGCTGGAGATGGGATTATTGTGGGGTCATGGAGAAAGAATATTTTTCGTCAAGTCACTTTAAATATAACATAAAACTTAAGTCAGTCAAGGCATCGCTATAAGGCGCAGTCTTTTTAGAGCAAGGCTCCAATAAAATGTCTTTAGTCAAGTCCCAAGTCACTTTAAACAAGTCCAATATCATTCGTAATAGGACCAAATCAAGTCCCAGTCAAAGCAAGTAACACAATTCCCCACAAGTTTGCTGCATTAAGTCTCAAGTCTCCAAATGTTGATAGCATCAACTCAAAAAACATTCTATATGCGACATTAGAAAATCATATGTAAACTGATTTATGGAATTAAACCCTTATATTTGTATGTTAATCATTACAGTCATTTAATATTTACAAACTGTGAAGCTCTTACTCATCACCCTAAGTTACAATTCCAGGTTGTTTGGTGGTCTCTGGCACTTTGAAGGCTAACACATTGTTACATCTTTATTTATAAGGCAAGTCTTGGTCTGCTTCCACACTGCCTTTGTGTATTTATCACACAGAAAAAGTGCTGGACAGTATTCATTGTGCTCCCAGGACTTCTTTATGTTCTCTGTCCCCGGAGCTCATACATAAATTAGTAAAAGGGCTTTTGGGTTTTGTGCACCTTCAGCCTTGAAAGTATTACAGAATGACTTGAATTTCAAGGATCTGGAGTCAGTCTTGGCAAGGTCTCCCTTGAAAAGGAGATTTTTCATCTCAATGGGTTCAACCTGGTTTCAAAATGAATAAATGATTAAAAAAATAAAAACCTGTACTGCACCAATCCATGCAGTTGTGGTCAGATTAACTACATGAACAGTGAGGTTTCCTTTTCCATAATATTTTAACCATAAAAAGTAATATTACTGAGTAGAGATCAGGCACTGAATCTGGACAATATTTTAGAGCAGCATAAGAAGTTTAACAGCATCAGATTAATGCAAACATATGGCAGCTTCACTAAACATTATTTTTTAATTGTTAATTTCTATCATTTTACTAATTAACCGTGTAAACCATCTGGATGCAGACTGTGCTCACAACGTGAAACTGTGCAGCATCAAAAAACAATCTGAGTCCACAGAGAGGCTGATTTGTTCCTCTTTTAATGTTATTGAACAGCAGACACCAGCACCGAGCGATGAAACGGGGGTGCAAGTTGGACTGGTTTAGGTCTCTTTACCTCATTTCACTATTCGTGTCAGCAGTGTGAAGGGGTTATTATTCACCAATTTTGATGCTTTAAAAGTTATGTGAAATCAACAATAAATATACGGTCTTTGATTTAATTTGGGCTTCATATTGCTTCCCCAGAGATTTGTGAATTTAAACAAGTCCCGTACACAGCTGAGAAGTGTTCCTCTGTATTATTTGTTTTGTGTCACAGTCAATATTTAGTGTTTTATATGCAAGTCAGTCATTTTCTTTTTAAATCTGTGCTAATCACTTAGAAATCATTTAGTCACCGATGTATAATTATGGTCCGTGTGAAAGCTCCTCTTGATCACTGCTGTCAGGGGTGGCAGGTAATGTAGGCTGAGGGTCTGTGTGTGTGTGTGTGTTGTTTTTGTTGCAGCCAATGGGTAAGCTCAATAAACACTCATCATATCCACGTAGCCTATCACATTATAACTTGTCAGCAAAGCATCTTATCAGTCAACATCCCACCAATCACAGAGAACCAAGCACGTCTTTGAAAGTTACAGCTAGTTAGTGTTTTATTCAGCCAGCCATGGATATACAAAAATTTGGACCGGACTCACAATAAAATTAGGCTAACTGACCTGGGAGAAAAAAACAGTGGCCTATCTCAGCCCATCCTGCCGGAGTATCTGAAAACATTTTTTGGGAAACAGAGGTTTTTTTCCGACTATTTCAAAACCTGCAACTTTAAAGAATACAGTAAAGAGGCTGACTGTGTATTTTGTTTTCCATGCCGGGACTTCCAGTGCGGCAGTGGCCATAGAGACGCCGCTTTGGTAACTAACAGTGTATGGAACATGGAAAATATTTTCGATAGGCTACAGAGACATGCTGAATCTGCATCACATTGGCAACACATAGAGCAATGGCAGGGTTATTTGGAATCAAAAACTGCTGGATCTGTTGCTGCCAAGTCAAGTGACAGTAATGGTCATATTCACATTGTCCTTTCAGGTTTTTAAAACAAGTATGATCGGTGGTCAGACTTAGCATTCCCAGACCTCAGCCTCAACCGCTGCCAAAGACTGCTGCCCATCTTTTCTTTCATTAAACTCCAGCAATGTTTTAGAGATTTAATAAAATATGGGCTGCTGCACGTGTCAATCAGTGAGTGATATTGGATACAGGGAAACGACATCTGCAAAGACTGCTCTCGTGTATCCTCTTTTATTGCTCCTTCTAATTCCCTCCTCTTTCCTTGATCCTTTCTCCAAGCCTCAAAAACAGCTCCTTAAAACGGTGGGTCCATAACCACTACCAGTTCACCCAAAGATTCAGGAACAAGACTCAGGACCAAGGACAGAGGAAACAGCGTTTTAGAGAACTATAGTTCTATCAGTCAGATCAGGTCAGAATACTCACAGCAGCAACAGCTGATTGTTGGTGTCATCCTTTTTTTTAAATAAACTAAAAAAAAAAAAAAAAAGCTAAAACACAATGAAAGCCTAGGACACAATGAAGGATTTTTAGAATCTTACAGATTATTAAAAACATCAGAGACAACAAACATGACAACAAATGATGACAGATTTAACAGGTTTCACTCTGATGAGTAATCACAGAGATCTTAAAGTCCCACTCTGATCGGTTTTTCTTTTTTTAATACTTAAAAAGTTCTCAGTGGTCTCACCTCCCTTTGTAATTTTGTTTGTGATGTTTTTTTTGCTAAACATATTGTGTAAACACATGTTGCTGTCATATGTCAATGGGTTGATTCTATATTTAGGACGTCCATCTCTGTTGATGTGTTGTGATTACTTTTGTTGCCATGGTTGCATTTCCACATGACAATGGACAGAGTGCATGAGCGCATGGCTTTTTCTGAACCCAAAAGCAGAACCGGAGGCATATGAAGCATTGAAGAGAATTTATTGATTGGAGAAAATGGAGGGAAGGGATCCAGGGTCCTAAGCGTGAGGAGTGAATCCAGGGAGTAATAAGGGCTGGAGGTGTGAGGGCTTGTGGCCAAAGCAGGTGAGTGGTTTTCAGAGAGACTGTGGCAGCGTAGCAGAGATTGGGCGAATCTTACTGGGGCTTGTGGAGGCACTGGAAGAAAAGTAGAAAAGACACCAGTAAGTCACAGGGGATGCACACAAAAATAGGCAATGTTCAACAGGTAGCAAAACACGCAAGGACTCCAGCAGAGTAGGCCAATGTACCACATGAGATGTAGGAAAAATCTGGCACCGCAGGGGCAGCTGGTGATTGCAGTGATTAGGTGCAGGTGTGAAGGTGCAGGGAGGAAATGCCCAGTCTCTGCTAAGAAAAAGGCCCAATCCCAAACCGACCCCTACATACTCGCCCTTCACAACTGAGTATCACTTGTAATGAAGTTACACTCCCAGCTCTGGAGTGCGCCTCAATTGAAACGCCAAGCAGCCTGCTGCGTCATCAGCCTGCCTCACACCATGAGCACAAAATGAAGAGTCTTCAGAGTCAGACAACATCACGTTCAACAACGTTTATTTTCTAAACTAGACTTAAACTTTGCTCTTTATTCTCACCGACATCGCTCTGGCTGATCGCATGTGGAGATTCACTCTGAGGAAGTTAACTCATGATGCCATGCATGCTGCAGGCCAGCGCTGCGAGCCCAGAGCAGCGAGCCAGGCAAAAAGAGTCCGCACGCAAGCGATCCACACATTTTAGCGTGTTTAATGCACAGTTGTGCTCTTTTTTTTCACTTTTTTCTTTTTTTTTTCAGAATAAACAAATATTATTTACTAAACGGATAGTAAGAACAGCCCCATTCACACGAATATCGGAATAACCACGCACATCCCTAAAAGATTCAATGCCATAGCAACACAAAGACACGTCCTGTGCATAGCAGCATTTCTTTTCTTAGTAAACAGCCATCATGTACAGTTCTGAGCCACACTGGCTTTCTCGTTTTTTTTCATTGTCCCAGTGAAATCCTAAATCCAGTAACCATTACAGTGACAGGAGCTAAATTATACTTCTGATTGTTAGTGATTCCACACGTCTTTGAACCCCTTTACTATTTGACATGTGCCTGCACAATCAAATCAAACCTCAGCACAGAGTAAGATTTTTGAGTTTAATTTGATCTTTCCAAATCACGTCTTTTGTTTTGTTTTGTTTTTTGTTTTTATTTTGTCAGTGAGACAAAGATGGACACATACGGAACTTACATTTGTATGTTGTTTCCTCCTTCTCCATTTTTTCCGGCGCACTACCTGCAAATCCTGTTGCGAGTGTGCACCGTTGCGGACTCGCTATCTGAGGGCTGGATGGTCCACTCACTCTCCGCACGCTGTGGTTTGTGATGGCCCCAAATATGGCAGAGCCTCTGCAGGGACGCGCAAACGGAGGGGGAGTGTGTAGGGTAAGTGTGTAGGGGGCGGTTTGGGATTGGGCCAAACACACACACACACACACACTCCACACAAGAAACAGTAACTCAGGAACACACCAAAATAAAACCAAAATGCCACAATCCCCACGAGTTTCCTGTATAGATCAGGAGCTCAAGTGTTTGTTGCATGTGAATCCAGGTTACATGTTAAAGCTCTCTTGAAGACTTAAAAACAGGCAACTGGACTGTGTAGAGTTGCGTGCTTTTAAGTCTTCAAGATAACCATGACCTGGATGAATGAGAATCTACATGGACATGTTAAAGCTCTGTTCACTTAAATAGATGTCACAGCCTGCTTCAGCGCTGCTGGCTGTTGAAGTTGACAGACAAGTGGAGTTAAGAGTGGCAGGTAGAGACTGGCATCATGTTTGTCTGCCCTCCAACAGTGAGCTGTGACTGGATGCTGCTGGTTGTCTGCTCTGTCACTCTGATACTGTGATCGCCCGTCAGACTCCTCTTTGAGACCCTTCTGTTTCTTAACTTAGAAGGATCAATATGCTGCAGCTCGGGGCGATGGCAGGGTGAGGAGGAAGGGGAGGTGTGAGGGGCCTGGGTTGGCGTCTTGGTTGGTATTTTATGAGCTCAGTGCAGAGAAACTGTAAAATAGTCTTGTTTAAATATTATCTCAGTTTAAAACACAGAACTAACATCTACTTAATGAAAGGAAAACAACAGCAGTCTCTCTGAGGAGGCATAAATCCCTATTTTTCAGACGGGTGTACATGTGTGCTGTGTATTATTAGTGCCTTTGCTCTCTGTGTGTGTCCTGTTTCAGAAAGATGCTCTTACATTCCTCCTCGCTCATTTAAGAGCTGTTTAGTTGTTTTTTTTCTCTTCTTTGTTATTCTCTTGTTTTGTCTCCCCTCGTCTTTTCTCTCCTCTGTCATCTCCTCTCTTTGTTGTTGGCTCATTCTCCTCCTCGCCCCCTCTCGCCCTCTCTCCAGCCCCCTCCTAAATCTCAGATTAAAGGAATGATGCAAACTCCTCGCCTCTTTCTCATGCTTGATCCTTTCCGAGCGACTCGACTTGCCAGCGGCCCCGGGAAGTCGAGAAGGCATCTTTTTATAGCCAATGTAAAAACAAGCAGCACCACACATGCTTTTAATACCCATGTGCAAAACAAAATGTGGCATTAAGCGATGCATACATCCCACCCTGGAGTATTAGGTCACGGTGTGCATCAGAAACGATCTACCAGCTTTGAGAAACATTTCAGAACTCGGAGCGCTGAAATGCTGCAGGAGGATATTTTACTGTTCCTGTGTTTGGATCATAAACACCTGCTTTTTATGTTTTAATCGTGCACACGCACAGACATTGTCCAAATCTGTTCATAGTGAAGCACAGACCTGGGTCAACATCAAAATGAGTCATCGCACATCTGAGTTTTAAAAGAGGATGCTACAGTGAACGGTGACAGGGATAAATAAGGTGATTTGGATGCTGCTTGTGGTCCCTTGATTTTTTTGTTTCAAAAGTGGTAGCTAGGTAGACAACTTTATCAGGGGTCTCTATAGCTTGTTAATCACGGATCTATCCCTTTTACTTTAAGAACCCTATGCAAATGTAGCCTACAGGGGTTCACTGAAGTTAACCCTGTTGTGTTGCAACCTGACTCGCTGTTGTCACTTAAACTCTTGATTAGTTGTAAAAAAATATTGCAAAAATATTCTCTCTTTATGTGCAGATTTGAAGTTGCAACAATTTGGAATGAGGATGTAATGCATGTTTTTGCATCCTTGCAAAACCAGGCCTGAGCACCTGTAGTTTGGTAGGAATTTAAGTATAAACAGAGGAGCTCTCGCAGTTTAGACGGGAGGATTCTTGAGGAGACATCACTTTTACAAGTTTTACATATTTCCCCACCTCAGAGTGTCAGAACTTTTTCCTCTTTAAACTGATCTGGGGTCGCTCTTTAACACTGTCATCCTCAAAATGCCAGCTGAGAACAATGGAGGTTTCTATTATGACAAAGAAAATCCGCAGTGAATAGGAAACAATAATCTGGGTGATAGAGAGTCACAGATGAGCAGTTAGAGAGATAGATAGATATAGAGGGAGAGAGAGAGAGAGATAGAGACAGCGAGAGAGAGAGAGAGGGAGAGAGAGAGATGTGTTTGTTATGGCAGGGCGAGCTTTGGCCTGCGGGTGGCTGCAGATTAAATACTCCACGTCCTGAGCCGTCGATGATTCAGGAGATTTAAGCATCAATTTGAGAGCCTTCAGAAGAGCTTTAGTACGCCTTTCAGACGGCGTTTGAGGAGAGATGGCTCAGATAGAGATGGAGAGACTCAGAGAGAACTTCCACTTTGCATCAGATTTGGTTAAATCACAAGAGGCAGGCAGAGAAACGAAGAGACAACGATAAAGAAGAAAAAAACAGCTCAGGAGAGGAGGATATGCTGGAATATTTATGAAGAGATGTTCAGGAAAGTTTTTACACCCTGTTAGATCAGATATTAAAGTTCCTGCAGAGCTCTGTATGAGAGCAGTGAAAGGCTGTTCAGATTTATATTTCTGTTAAATCAAGAGCAAGTGTCAGCTTTGTAGCCTATATGAGACTTAACAGGGCATACAGACGATGAAACACGGTCGATAAAGAATATTTCAGGAGGAAATGTGCAGTTTGTGTTAGTTATGCATGGTGTTGAAAATCAAACTTTACTTAAGACCAGAGGCAGAAACTTTTATGCTTTGTCTCCATTTCTTACAAACTGCTTGGTAAACGCTAGAAACAGCGTTTATATGTCAGTGCATGTTAAGTGTCAGGATCACCCTCAGTCAGGGCTGATGACCACGGAGCCAAAGCATAGAGAGACTCCAGGACCAGATTGACCAGACATCCCCAATTTCTGGGGACAATCCCTGTTTCAGATTACCTTTCCCCGGCTAAAGCTGTCCCTGAAAATGTTTTACTGTTTCCTGAATTTGAAAAAATGTTGATTTAGACTAGAACAATGGTTATTACTGTGACCGGGTAGGGAAACGCAACTGAGCAAGTAGCGTGTAGTCCTGAATAACAAACTCCCCCGCTCTCTGAGTCGATTACTTATTGATAACTTACAGCCCCTCCTGTGTCATCATCTTCAATAAAGGACTGTGATTGGTCAGTATATCTGACACCAACAGAGAATCGTTTTGAATTACTGCAGATTTCAGACCAATGTACTCTCTTAAAAAGTGTTGAATGTATTTTAAGACATGTGCAGTGTTTACTTGACATAAAATTGTAATATCTCATGCTGTGTCTTGTTCAGTGCTTACTCATGCTTTGCCCCTGTTTTGTGTATTTTTCAGTATTAAGGTCCTTTAACACCGGGACCGTTTTTTTTCCTGCAATTATTTCGGACGTCAATATTTTTTTTGAACCCGTATCCTGTCAGTACAAGCGTTCACATCAGCGACGTTCTTCCGTCCTGCGATATTGCGGCATTTATTTTTTCGGATGACGGTCGATTTTTCTATAGATTCGCATTCTGTGTGTCCACTTCTGACCAATCAGATTGCGTGTTATTGTGACGTCAGACTGGCTGATTGTTTACGTGTCGCAGAACAGAGTGCTTTTTGTTAAAAAACACAAATATTATAATGATAATGGCCTGAAGGACAGCTTGCAGAGAATCATAGCGTCAGATTTCTCATATGACAGTAGTTTGTGTGCTTTAACAGTTTGCTAAATGTCTTTGTTTTAACTTTCATCTGTGCTAAGTAACTTTAGCTCGTTAGCTAACCTGTTCAGATACAACATACCAAATGTATTTTCACTGTCTCAAACTCAATCATGTTGCTGTCACAGCGCCATTAGGTCTCAGTTGTTACCTTACATTTATGGATTATAGTTTAATGGTCTTATCTGGTACTGGCCCCGACTCAGTACATGCTCTCATGACAGACAGACATCTCAACACTAGTGTCTAATCAGAACTGAAAAACAGTCAGTCTGGTGTTGTGTCAGTCTTCTCGCTTCCACCCGGGACGTGTCTTTTCCCCCCGAGAAAGTCACAAAATCACATCGGGCTTAAAGTGCATAGTCACGCACGTCAAAATTCGCCTCGTAATATTTCGTAATTTTGCGTTCTATATTCGCGTCGGCCCGGTGTGTAAGAACCGTTAGCTTGATGTGTCTGTCTTTATCCTCTCTTTTCTCTCCTCTGTGGGCTTTCAGAATTTTTATCTTGGATTTTCTTGGATTTCCCTCTAAAAACAAACCAATGTCATATTAACCGGACCACTGTATGTGGATTTATATTCAGCTGGTTAAAGTTGGTGTCTTTGGCAACAGGGTGCCGTAGAGGAAGAACAGACTGTTGTTACTGTTGCTATGTAACGACCAATCGGAATCAAGCATGTAACCCAGCTGTGCAATTAAGTGTTATAAAATCAAAATGGAAATTGAAATACATAATGAGATTTGGGCTATATAAGTGTGTGTGTGTGTGTGTGTGTGTGTGTGTGTGTGTGTGTGTATGTGTGTGTCAGTCAGTCTGAAGACAAACAGATTCACAGCCACGCGGAGTTAACTACCTGAAGGTATTTTCACATCCTCCCCTTCTCTTTTTCTTGTCATCATTTATTTTCTCTCTCTCTCTCTTCCCATCACTTCATCCCCCCCTTCTCTCCCCCTCTCTAATGAGGTACTATGGAGGGGGGAGCATATGCTCAATTAGCAGCTGAAGGCTGACAGAAGGGAACGAGATGCTACCAATTTCCTGTTTTCTCGTCTCTGCACGCCATCAGCACGCACAAGAACACCGCGTTTTGTGTGTGTGTAAAATCCCAGCTGATTTCAAAACATGCACACACATACACACCTACATGTTTTTGTGTGTGTGTATGTGTGTGGACCAGAAAGTAAGTGGAAAGTTCAGTTTCTGCATCAGACTGCTTCGTGCTATCCGATGTCTTTGTTTTGGCGTCATCGCAGAGGAGTGTTTGTCCGTCTGAAAGCAGAAACAGGGAAAGGGAAAACAAGAGCGAGAGAGGAAAACAGACAGAAAGAGAGACAGGATGGTTGTCTCTTTGTCTCAGAAAGCTCAGGCCTTGCAGCTGGTGCGGAGGAAACCAGATCCACCTCACTCTGCCCACCACTTAGACCAAACACACACACTCAAACACGCAAACTCATACACACCCACACACACACACACCGAGGGAAAAAATAAAAGAAGCATAAAGAGAGACAGGAGGGGGATTTTCTTGAAGAAGTGAGTGACAAATCTTCAAAGGTGTCTCAAAGTGCAGGTCCCCCCTCAGAAAGCTGGACTCTCTGATAACCTGTCCCTGTCTGAATCCAGCTGCAGTCCCACATTAAATCAGCAAAGGACATATAATGGACTCTAAATGAAGGCCAGTGTCACTCTGTGTGCAAACAGAGCTGGTAATAGTGATTTATTCTGTGTATACTGAACATTGTTACGGACTTCTTTCCCAAAATGGTCGTAAAAATGAACCCGAGCTGCTTCAGACCTCTGAAAATGGACCCTGCTGCACCTGAAGATCACTGAGTGTCATACATACAATTTGGACACAATGGCCCTCATTTATCAAGCTTGCGTATGGCAGAAAACTTGCGTACACCTTGCATACAAAAATTTTTGACATGAGGATTGGCATTTATCAATCTGCACATGAGCGTACGCTATGACCAAATCTTAGATAGATCAGATACGAACCCTTTCATAAATCTCACGTGTGTCCTATTGTACAATGAATCCTGCGCTCAGATCTGCACAAGATTGATAAATGAGGGCCAATGAATTGCTGTGAAAACTGTTTTCAGGAGGATATTTTGGCCTATTCCTAAAATCATCAATATCTCAGTAACTCTGGTCTTTTTGTAGCTAATAATCAAATATAAACAAGCACATGATGTCTGTTTACATGTAAAATTCCTATGAATAAAGCTTATCAATATTATCAGAAATCTCAATTTGAATCTCTTTTGGCTGATGCATGACCCCAAACCTTCCCAATGAATAAATCAAAATAAAACAATTTTTGATAATTTAGTCTACAATTAACAGATTCGAGCTTCCCACTAGAAATGAACTATGAAATGGGTCGTCATATGGTGCTCACTGGCTATTCATGGTTGGGGATTTATACATGCCGATTGCTGACAAGCGGGAGAGAGCTGTCTATTTACTACTAATTGGCATTCACGAACAAACACACATGCCTACATTCAAATGAGTTTTCTGCCATGTTTATGAATCTGGAATAAGTTGTTAATACCATAATATTTATAAATCTGTAGACATTTTTTGAATGAAACCTGTTTTGTGTGTTTCCATGGACTTAAGAGTCCTAGTTTTGATGTTTTGTTATGTTTCGTTTGTTTGTTTTTGAGTTTTCTGTTTCTGAGTTGGTGCATTTAAATATTAGAAACTGAGTCCAGTGTCTCATTGAAAAGGCTCTCAATAGCATCTTACTGTGAAACATGTTTGTGCGTACGTGTGCTGCAGCACATGTATGCATGCATGCAAAGAGTCCCAACAGAAACATGGGGACAGATGGAAAGAAAAAGTGCCTCCATCTGAAGTCCCCGAGAAACAGTTAGCCAGAGTCCCCAGCTGAGGGGGCCAAGGACCCATATGTTAGACATTGGAATGGACTGTGTGAACTGGAGGATGTGGTTTGAAGGGGGAGGGGGCTTTAACAATGAGGAACCACTCTCAAACTCTTCTCCATCTTCTTGCTAACCTTCCTGCTCCATTCACCCTGACTCTGAGTCTGATGCTGTTGCTGTCACAGGTAATGCAAGAAGGGTGATAGAAGTAGACATTCATTGGCATGAGGCTGCTTTCTGATGTGTGCATGGTGGTGGTGGTTCCACATGTGGGCTGTTAACAGAGCAGTCAAGTGTTTACTTTGAGTGGTAACACCTGCAGCACATATAAGGTGAAGAGGTCTGTGAGTCGCAGGCAGATGAAGATGGTGAGGTTTTTGTTTTAAAGAGTAACTGTCACAGCACCCGGTTTTCAAATCCTTCAAATCCAAACCAAAATGAAATCAGTGCAAAGACAATATGTTCACCATTTTACAAATTAATGCTCTGTAAACTTTTAAGAACCCAGGAGACCAGTTTTTAAGAGTTTGGAAATGTAAATGTTGTCTTAGTTATCCCCTTTGTCTTATTTTCATTGTCTAATTTTTGGACTGCAGGCAGACCAGTGTAATAGCAGGACTCTTCTACTACAGAGCCATAGATATTGTTCAGCATCAATGAAGCCTTCACAGATGTGGAAGCTTCCTGTGGCATGGACACCCAAACCATCAGGGATGCTGGATTTGAACTGTGAGCTGACAACAAGTTAGGTTCTCTAGTTCTCTCTAAGTTCTGAAATTGTGAAAAGTCTGTTTTTATCAATGTTTACTCAGCCTTTTTGGAGTTGGTGTTTCAAGAATATAAATGTAACCTAAAGTCAATAAGAATAGCTTTGAAGAAACGTCACCCATACTTTACACTCTCCACCTGTCAGCTAACTTCACTTGCTGTCACTGTCGAAGGGTTAAACCACTGGCCGTTAGCCATTGGCTAAAATGGGGTTGATTGTTTCTTGAATGAAACTGGACCCACAAACGACAAACTCATCATGTTTATCTGATATCTAGTTTCCTTTATTTGTATCCCAGAGAAAAAGGATATTGCATTGTTGGTTCATTCCCATCTCACGCAGCTCTGATTCAGTGGAAACTCACTATGGGTCCAAATCCACAGCTGCCAAGAATAATAAAGCTTTGTTTTATTTGTCCACTTGATGTGCTGAGGTCAAAGAAGTACTTGAGAGTTTTATTGGAGCATCTGGAGTGAATGTGCATTTCCTTTGCTTGAGTTTGACTGGACTTGAATAGCCCTTAAAACTCATAAAGTCCACTTTTACAGTGATGAGACAGTAAAATCAGCACAGTGTTTTCTGATGTTCAGACTAAACCCACCTGACTGGAGTCAAGTTAAACTGATCTACTGTGAAATCAAGTTAAACCATTTCCACATGGTGACACTGCTTCTCACACAAAGCTGCCCCGATAAACACCTAATGAAATCCTTCCTCCTACTCCTCCTCATCCTCCTCTTCTTCCTTCTCCTCCTCTGTCCAGCAGATCATGTGTCCCCTGGAATGCAAGTTTCTTTTTTTTCTTTATCCCCCCTGCTGCACCCAAAAAATAAACACATGAAACTTGAGGTCTGGGGCCCAGAAGATGGTCCAAGTGTGTGTGTTGGGTGGTGTGATGGGGTTCAGTTGGCTGCAGAGCTTGCAGTGGGTGGGTGTGCTGGGGAGGAGGGGAGCTGGGAAAAGATAGAGAACAGCTGTGACCTATTTTTTCCTCTTCTCTCCTCTCTCAATCCTCCTCTCCTTGTCCTGAGCCTCCTCTAGGAGCTCTGGAGTTTGCAGAGTGAAACGACGGCCCCTTCATCGCTTTGTAGAATCGCCACCGCCAGCACGGGAGTCATTAATAGGTTCCTGGCAGACCTGCAGAAACGCACACACAAACACACACACACACACAAACACACACAGTCCTCAGGCATATGGTGGTGAGTGTTTTCTAAAAGTGTTGGATGTTTTTTTGTGGATTTTACTGCCAGCAGTTTGGAGGTCAGACCCATTGTTTGCAGTTACTGTCAAATAGCAAGAAATTCTCTGCAGTTATTCACACACACAAACACACACACACACACACACACACACACACACACACACACACACACACACACACACACACACACACACACACACACACACACACACACACACACACACACACACACGCACACACACACTTTCTGCCAAACCCATTCAGAGTCTGTGTTTGTCCGACAGCCACATCTGGATTGAGTAGAGCTGCAAATGAAAAGGAATGTGTGTGTGTGAATGCACGTGTGTTTGTGTGTGTGAGTGTGAGAGTGCATGCATGTTTGTGTTTCTGTGTGAGTATGTGTGTGTGTTCATGCACACAACACAGTCATGTTTTTGGCATTTCCAGCAGCATGTAAATACACTTAAACTCCCCCTCAAACCAGTGTTTCTGATGGTTTTTCAGTAACTGTTTTTTTGGAAATGGGGAAAGGGGGTGTGGTTTGTCGGGAGATGGAATCCATCACTATGGCAACAAGACTGTTGAGAGCAGAAAGTCATCTGAAAACAAACTTAAGAGGAGAGTTTTTTTTAACAGTACTGAGGTGGAATTTGCTAAGATTTTCGGAACCCATGGTTGTTCAGGTCATAGTTTATGTGAGGCCTGGTATTAAATTTAGGATTTTAACAGTCATGGTGTGAACTCACACTGTAAAAGTGAAATGTTTACAATGCATGGCTGATTCATGCACTCACACATCATGTAGAAATCATGAAGCAGCTTTGACAGTGTCTCCTACAAAATGTCCCACAAGTTTAATACAAAGACTATGAATTCAACAGTATAGTTGCTTGTATGAGGGAAGAGGAGGACTTTGCTCTGCCTGCCTCCACTCTAGTGTTACCATCATGTTTCTATTAAATGTGAAACACTCAAGTAAATACTGTCCCACACTGATGGCATGTCCCCAATTTTGAATAACTATTGAAGTTACACTGACATGCCACATTCTTATACATCTCTTTTCATTTAAATTGTCATTGATCATTTAGAGTGTATTGTCTGTATTGTTGCTGGTCTGCCTCTGTTGTATGTATTACGACTCCTTTGTAGTTTTGTCTTAGAGTTTAGGGTTTCAAAAATTGAAGTCCGTCGCCATGGCATTTTCAGACACTGGCAGACCAGAAGTTGGGTAAATCAGGTTGTATCCCTGCCCTCATTGTGAATAAGAGAGAGAGAGAGAGGGTACAGTAACCCGACCAAATTTGCAGATATGCTCGAAATTCATCTGACTGCTCAAGAAGAGCTGATCGGCTCCCATGACCCTGTGTACACTGGCCAGAAAAACAACGCACAGTGGTGTGTTGTTTGTCGTGCACAAAATCAGATCAGAGTCAACTTCAAATGACACAGACTGAAGACCGGAAAGCTCCTTGGAAATTAATGTAGGGAATCCAAGGTACCTGCTTATTCTCAAATAAAATTATAACTCAAGAATTTATATGCAATAACTTATTGCGTTCCAATGGTGTCCACGCGTCAGTGTTTAGGTGAACACATTTTTTGCGACACTTGTTGAGGAACTGCCTTCTGTCGCTATCGTGTGGCATTACTGTCTTCACACATCTCTTGATGGGCTCACGAAAATAGAGCCCATTTTCCTAGTTAGAAACTGAAACAAACAAACAAACAAACAAAAAACATGGAAACACTTTTGCACTCTCATGCTGCTTAAGGTTAACCACAGTTTACAGTGTCACAGTTTATCCATGACTCTAAACTGAAAATCCCCATGTCACGATGGATCGATCATCTTTTCTGCTCAGTGTGTATCCATGTCTCCTGCTGACAGCACCGTGCTTTCCAAACCAACAGGGACAGAAATATGCTCTTGGGTGATCCGTCGGGCCTGTAAACAAATGAGACCCCTCCTGTTGAACAGTGGTCTATTTATGTTCTGGTTTGTTTTCAGGTTAATATAAAAAAAAGGCCAGTTCATCCCTCTGCCACATTTCCACTGTCACTCTGGGAATAACTGATGTCTCCAAACTGCAGCCTGACTGATCATTGGCAGCAGATAACAGTGTTTTTAGTTAGACATTTACAGAGTTTTTTATTTTTCAATTTTTTGGGGCTGAATTTACCTCAGAGTACCACACAGAGCATTCCCCGCTGTGACTGAGCAGCTTTTTATGAACTAAATTTAGACTCTAACAGGGTTAGTTTACTTCCAGCCGTGCATTAAGGTTTGATTGGACCTGCTCTGCTGCACTGATGGGCAGAAATAATCAATACAGAGAACAGGTCACAGATAAGAGCGATGTATTCAGACCAAACCTGGAACCAGAGACATGAGATGTTAACCTCCATGTCCTGGTTTCTTCTCTGCAGTGTCTGAGCAGTGAAAGAGCTGAGATGATGCTGACCTGTGGTCAACCTGCAGCTCCTCTCCATCCATCATGGAGGAAAGGTTGGGGACAGTGTTCGGTCCACATTAGGACAGACTTTTTGCAGTCTTTCCCTTACCAGTTGGCTCTATTTTAGAGTCAGGTCCAACAGTCTCTGCAGATTAATCCTCACATAGCGACAGGGCTCTGAATCACAGAAACAAGCAGACTTTCATAGGTTACAGGTGAGACACTTTCCACTACATGGCTTGTCTAACTGAAATTCTGCAGACAGATCCATGTAAAGCCAAATTTTTCAGTCATTTGTGGGTTTGTTTGCATTTGTTGCATATAACCTTTGCTGTATTTATTATTTTTGTCTGTATATTTGTGATCAACTTGAAGACAAGATGGCAAATTATTCCCTGAAATAATCTTGTTTCACTTCACATGTACAATACAGAGCCACCAGGAAATTACTTTAACAAGAAGTGGATGCAATAATTAAAAGAAAGGTACTTGTTGAAATTGGTGTGATTTTTTCACTGAGGAACAGTTACTTCAACTTGAACATCCATTTACAAAAACTTCACAAACTTTTATATCAATGCAGTTAAACGTCAACAAAACTACTAGAAAATATAACCTTAAATTCAAAGTTAAAATGTTGTGTGAAAACAGAGTGTAAGAATAAGAATAACGTGATTTATCCCCGAAGGCAAATTTAACAGTCTGTAGTCTCATTTGTCATGTGTCAAAAAATAATGAAATTGTTTACATGTTATTTAAAGCCTTTACCTAGTTGTAAACAATAGAAAACACATGTAAGAGATGTTGAAAGTGAAAAAAAAATAATACATAACATATTTTAAAAAAGTAATTAATTCATTTAAAAAAAGGTACTTTTGTGTCTTGATGCTCCAAATTTTATCAGTGGGTCACCTGGACCAGTTAGGACCAGTTTATCAGCAGGACTCTTCATCTACAGCGCCATGCTGTTGTCGGAATGTGGTTTGTCATGGTCTTGCTAAAATATGAAGGTCTTCCCTGAAAAAATATCATTGTCTGAATGGCAGCAGATGTTCCTAAATATGTAAACGTTGTTCAGCATTAATGGAGCCTTCAACTCTGATGATCCCCAAACCATAAGGGATGCTGGCTCTGACCTGAAAGCTGATACCAAGCTGGCTGATCCTTCTTCTCTCAACAATGGGGAGAGTGCAGCGTCCATGATTTCCAAAATGAATGTCACATTTTGCTTGGTTATAGCACAGAGCAGATTACCACTTCACGTGATGTAAGACACTGTAAATGACCAAGACTGCAAGAGGGTGGTGAAGCCATCCATCACACTGCAATAGTAATACACAGAATTCCTTTCATTTGAACTATCACTGAAAGAAATCCCCTCTAAATTGAATTCCGGTCAAAGGTATTGTATTCATGCTTCACAAACTGGAGTATCAGTGTTAGCTTTGCTTGCTGGAGCACATATCACTTTATCCAGCGACACAGTCTGAGTCTAAGGGTGCTTAGCCAGGCCTGAGGCGGTGATAGGAGGGTTTATCCTGCCTGACGTCCAATCAGGAGGGACAAATGGCGAGCAATCTTCCTTCATCCCAACTGCTGAGATAAGAATAGCACCCAGTGATGTTGGAGGGTTTGGTGAGAGGAAATCAAACCCCAGCTCAGATCCTTTGAAAGCTCTCTCTCTCTCTCACACGCACGCACGCACGCACGCACACACGCACGCACAGGATGACACAGGCAGGCATATGTGTCATAGAGCATGCTCAGTGTTTTCACACCACCACCCTCCTGCGTTCTCTCTCCCAGTGGGCTGTGGATGGATGAGTGGATGGGTGGATGGGGAGAGGGAAGCAGGAGGTGTTAAACTGGTCCAGGAATAAACACAGTGGCTGTTAGAGCTGTACGAGATAGAAACGCCTCTGGCTCGCACCTCTGGCTCCCCGGGGCCATGACTGATCTGAGCGTGTGCGTTGCATGTGCACATGTGTCACTGTGTGCATGTGTGTCAGTGCATGTGTGGATGCTGTGCTCACACTAGCTGTGCAGTGTGAACACACCATCCAAGGACAGAGCAGGAGCCAGCCTGAGGGATGGACAGACAGAGGCAGAGTCAGGCCAGCCGGGCACTGCTGGATGGATGGATGGAGCCAATAGGATTAAAGCAGCATCATGACCTTCACAGATGACTGTTAACAGAGGGAGGATTGTTGGTTTATTGTTGTTTTTCCTCAGTCTGAGCTCTGAGGTCACACAGATGGAGGACAGAGGCTCTGGTGGTAAAGCTGCTCAGGCTTTATGGCAGCTCTCTGCTCCTCTGAGGACTGGATGAACTTTACATGCAGGCTGAGCCGACAGTTAGATCCAGTTAAAAGGAGTCACCAGCACTCCCCACAGTCCTACTGTTAAAGGCAGGGACATGCACAGACATTTACAGGGGCAATGCATCATCATATTTCTAAAGAAAAGGCCCCAAAATGAGTGTAAAGTCACCATATATCCTCCTGATGCTGGCATATCGTATAAAATTATACACACAGTCAATGAAACACATATTACAAACATGAGGTAAGATGTCTTAGTTTTGTTCCTGTTGTGTGTCATGTGCAACAAGATGGTAAACACAGCACACTACACACAAATGGACCCTTTTCACCAGCGACTTGAGTCCTGACTCTCATAACTGATAAATTAGTAGTTTCTCATTAAATATCATGATTTTGAATGGAGCTTACCACTAATAGCTGCTTAACTTTCTGGCACTTACATTAAGGAAGCAATTATTATTTATGATATTTAACTCCTCTTCTTGTCATTTCAGCTGTGATATATTTTACTGGACTGTTTTAACCATAGACTGTATATAGAATGGACGCCGTCTGCCTCCTAGCTTGGTGGAGCCACTGCGAGAACAGCACCCTCTGGTGATGGACCGCAGTATAGGTCATAAATCCCGCCTCCTCCAGCAATCCCTATAGAGTTGTGGACAAACTTTAGAAATTTATGACACAGAATATAAATTTTTCTCCCCCCTGGTTACGATGTTGACATGTAGTTACTGTGAGACTGGTTTGTGCTCAAGTCCTTTTTTTCTGTGCAGCTCCATTTTAAAAAGTTATTAAGGGGTTCATGTTTTCTATGATTGACACAGCCTATGTGCGTACAAAGATTGTGTAGCTCACCTGGGGGATTCGCTATTTGAACTGAGTGTCATCACAGCGACTCTCCCGCCGAAAACAGCATATGTTTTTAACACTGGTGTTGTCTACGTGTATCAACAAGCGCAGTCTGTCACACAGATTAGAGAGTAGAAAAATCCCTTAAGGCACCTCACACTGCAAAATAATCTGTCAAGATAATCTTTACCACCATGTGATAATCAGAGTTTTGCTGACCTTTCTTGGAAGAAAAGAATTAGGCCCAAAATTGGTGTAGTTATCTTGTAGTGTGTGTTCTATTTTAGACAAACCAGCAGCCTGCCATCTTGGCACACTGGCATGACAATCAGCATGAACAAGAAAACCAAGATTTACTATCATTTTCATATTTTCTATACACTAAATGACTAAAAAGAAACCTCCATTTTCAACCTCCATGCAAACAACGTTTATGTTTGGATAGGAAGCCAAAACATATAAAAAAAAGGTTTACAAAACTATCAGCAACTGTGTGGACAGGCCTTAGAAAATTTCACAATTCTCTTCAAACTTTCTTAAAAACTTGTAACTATGAGCATTTTTTCAATTGTCTGTTTGGTTATACGGCCTCTAAAGTTGGTCAAATAAATCTTGCCTGAGAGGACGCTATTGGCTAATCAAAATTTCCAACATATCAGAACTCCTTTCAACCAGTCCAGAGGAGCTGATTGGCTCTCACTCTGTGCACTGCATGGCAAACAATGCCATTAAATCTCTTTGTTTTTTGCTTAGGTAAGCTTCCAGTATCATTTAAATCTTTAAAAAGTTTAATCACATTTTTTCTGTACTTACTATAAGAAGAGACACCAATAAAGCTTAATTTTTTTGACATTTCTTGCTAACTACTAAGATAACATTCATGTCATCCGTCATACTTCACTTTCTCCATATGTTGAAGATGAAAAGCTGTTTCTCTGACTCTAAGTAAAGCAGTGATTAGCAGAGTAATCTTGAGTCAATAAATGTTGGAATAGTGTTAATTTTGCTCTGATTTGATCGTTATTGGTACAGCCGTTCCTCATGTCAGTTTAAGAAGTGCAGAACGAGCCAATAGATGATGTTAAACAGTGTCAGAAGTGTTTGGATTCAGATGGATAAATAGGTCCATATGTTCACGGCCTTCTCCTCATAACGGCTGTCAAACAGCTGAGCAAAGTGAGGCTTCAGGGTTTCTCATCTCCTGCTGCAAACCTGTGTTCAGGTCCCACGTGCAGCGCTGGAAACTGTTCCATTCCCTGTGATTCCTAACTTTTTGGACATGTTGTAGTTTACTTTTGATGCTGCATGTAAACAGACTCAAATATTCGTCAGATATCCGCTGCTGTTTACTCTATTAGAGCAGAGAGTGTGCAGAGAGGACGCTCCTGTCGCTGTCTGCAGGTCTGAGCGAATAGATGAGTTCTGCAGAAGCACAGGAACCTCAAAGAACACCAGGCCCCGCTGATGGAGGCGGACAGATGTTCACAGTCCTCTGACATTTGATGAAACAGTTTTTCAGGAGAGCAGGGACTCCCGGCCTCCTCGCCACACACCTGCTCCTGGTGCTGGGAAGGCTCTGTGATGTTCAGATATTCATTAAGGAGAGAGTGACGCTGAGCAGCAGTCCTCTTTGAAGGATCCAGGAAGTGGACACCTCAACCTGAGATTCTTCAAAGACACCTGGAACCAAAACAGCAGGTCCTGAGTCAGGAGGGGACTCTGCTTTGAAATAGAGTGTTAGCTGGAGTATAACATTGGACTAGAGCAGGATACTTCAAGCGACCTCAGAGTGATTGTTATTTATCAAATACAGCTACCTACTTGTGTAAGAAACCAAGACAAGAGGACACAGGATTATTAAGTTTCTTTTCAACAAATTTTATAATAAATGGAATTAAAAACCCAAATTTTCCAGATGTGTTTGTTCTTGCGAGCAAACAGCTTCAGGATAGAAGGGAATAGAGTAAATTCAGTTCAATCCTGCCCCTGTCTCTGACAGTTTATAATATTTAACTGAGTTTACAAACTGTTAAAAGTTTGAGAAATACTTGATGAAGAACAAATACCAAACTGGTACGATCATAAACACTGAGATTTGAGATTCTAAGTCTGTGACAAGGTGCCAGGTGTAACTGTGCACCCATGGAGCTACTTTGGATGGTGAAATATCAAACTGTAAGTCTGTGAAAAAAAAAAAAAAAACTTTGCTGATGAGATCCCCAGTGATGTGCGTGAACGTGCTAAAATGAACATGTACACTAAACAGGCTAACACTTTGGTGAATGGAGCAGCTCATTTCCCAATCCATGAACAAGAATGTGAGCGTAACTCCTGCTAAAATTACAGAAACACCGCCCACTTTCTAAATGGACCCGAGGAGGTGTCAAGAGTTACTAAATGTTGTGTTGTGACAGTCAAACTTAGACATATGTACATCGCCCATTGCTACGCACTTCTGTCTTCCAGTAGATGTAATAAGGGGTACTGATGAAGCAGCTCTTTACGGAGGATTTTAAGTAGTTTCATGTGTAAACCAGGACCAATCACACCTTGTTTGGTTTCAGAGAGGTACAGCTTTTTTGAGATTGTCTTTGTTCAGTGTTTCAGATTTATCACCATGACTGATTGGTGAGACACACTGAAAAATAATTTTCTTGGTTTTCTATACTAAATTTCTGTCTGTGATTCTACAGTAGAATTTGATAAAACTTTAAAGTTTTAGTGATTGAGGATTAGGAATGAAGGTCTATGAGGCTCTGCTGATGGATACTTTAGGTGCAGCTAAAACAAAATGAACATGAACTCGTCATTTTAAACTGTGTGGATGAAACTTGAGCTAGCTGTAAGTGTGACCTTCAACAACACTAGAAATCCCTTTGTTTCCCATTGACAGCAGTGATCCAAGCAGAGGTCAAACTTTCAGCTGCACATGAAGCTCCACTGTGTGTGCAGACTGGTTCTCATAGTTCAATCTACCAGCCCCAGCAAAGGTTGAAATCTGCTGTGTAAATAGTAACACCTGCTTATACCACTGCATGTTTTAGATAGTTTTAATAGGGCCCTGAAGTCTTCTTATTCTCATTAAAAAGGAAATATAACTGGTTTTGAATGAGGTTTTCTTAACTCTTGTTTTACTTCCTGACTCCTGATCATCTTTGAGGAAAAAAAGCCTAATAGCACAGACAGACCTGAAAACGGCCTGATCAGTGTAGCTCAGGAAGTAATGTGAAACCTAAATAAATGTCGAGTGATATTTAACAAACTCCGGTCTGAATTCAGTGAGAGATTAATGAAGTGTGCAGGGAAGAGGAGAAACAAACAAAGTGAAGACAGCCTTCGAAGATCTGCTGTTGCCTTTAATTTCAGCTCTGATCTCTTCGCTCTCGCTTAGCGGCAGTGCTGCTTCAAAGTGCGCTCAGATCCACTAAAGTGAATGTTTCTCCAACATTACTGACAACTTTGTTGTGCTCTGAGGCCGTTTGAAGCTTATCTAAATAAAGCTGGCAAAGTATCAAGGTGTGCATATTAAACATAATGATAGTTAAAAGCTTCAGGATGAGTTCCTCAACAGTTACAGGCCCGGAGGGAGCTTAGCTGACATGCTATAAATGTCTGCCTCAGGCTTGCACTGCATGTTGTATTATACCTGTATTAAATGCTGCGATGCAAATGATGGTGTTTTATCATCAGCTGGATTCATAACTGTGCTGAAATATGTTGTTAAGCGGGTGTAAACATTATTTTGCTGTAGGCCCTGCACAGGATCCATCTCAGGAGTGATTTTATTTGAATCAAGTCTCTGCTGTCGCTTTAAAGAAGCCTCATATTAAACTCCTGTTATCATGGACTGTATAAGGGATTAAAGACAGAGGTGAACATTTCCCCCTCTGACTGGATCCAAGTTAAAAATTAACTGTCATATAATGCACATATTCTCCAATATATTTAAGTGCAATCTTTGATTGAATTAATGTTACCATGGTTGTAAAGGGTTTTTTTTGTGCTGTACTTGATGCTTGCAAGATTTATCCTGAAACTCAGACACGAAACCCTTGATTTGGATCACCTGCTGGATGTTTCTGGGCAATAGCTTTTCTCTGCAACAATAACATGAAATCACCTAAACATCCAGGTACAGCTCATCAACAGCCTACCGTAGCTCACTGACAAACTGAGCTTTCCTGGCCAGTCTGCTGATGAAGAGTCAGGTAATGTGTCAAATCACAATCACTGTGGGGGAGCTGAGGCAGCCACGCCACTGATGATCTTAAGAGTCTCCTCTCCATTGCAGTCCTTTATGGACTCTCTGCTCAAGCATGCTATTCCTAAATGTCAGGTGATGTCGTTTCTTAATCATGTTGTGAGGTGTATAAAATCAAGAATGCTGCATGCTGGGCACACAGTAGTAAAAGATAAGCTGTTAGCGAGACACCATGTGCAGAGGTAGAGGCTGAAGGCTGCCATAAACCAGCTGTATGGAGGTGGAATATCGGACAGCTTGGATTTGTAGCTCGTAGAAGCTCCTGTGATCCTTCACCGTCATCCTCGATCCACATGGACACCAATCATAAAGAGATTAGGTCTGTGTTTTTGTCTTGGGTAGACAATCTCTCTTTCTCTTACACACACACATACATACCATTAATCTCTTGGCCCTCACTAAACACACTCATCCATGTAACCACAGTGAAGATAAAAATCACTCTCTTGAGCCTAACACATCCTGTGGTTCTTGGTCCACTATCACAATCGACTGTCAATATAGCATGGTGATGTTCCATGGGATTTTCCGGCGTAAAATTAAGTTAGGGTCAAACACACGGTTACACCGAGTTAGACACCCTGTCGAGAGACGAATGTTGCCGACTGCTTGCTTCTCTAGTTATACCAACTTTAGTAATGACAGCAGATCCACATGCTCAACCAAAAAGCCACTCTATAGTCACAAATAATGCTCAGAACAGCACCTACCTTCATCAACAGTACATATAGGGTCCTAGTCATAGTACTAGCCACCAAATATCTTTTTAACTTTGCCTGATTTCTTTAGCAAAGAGACTAAACACAACTCACCTCCTTTCTTCCAGCAGCCGCTTGTTTGTATGGAGACCTCTGGGTGAGTTTGCCTAATGCAGCTGGGGTGCGCAGCTCAAAGACGAACATTTCTGATCATTACTTTTTCATTTCCTTGGAGTAATAATCATCATATTAATCAATTTGCACTGCAGACACAGTAGTTCTTCTGCCTTAGTGTCTCAGTCTGATTGCATTTCCATGAGGAAATGATCATAAATGTTCTTCCTTTAGCTGCGCATCCCCAAGCAGTTGTATTACTATCTGCGGTCATTACTAAAGTTGGTATAACTAGAGAAGCAAGTCGTCTGCAATATTTATCTCTGGACGGGGTGTTAACTCGGTGTTACGGTGTGTTTGACTCTGACTTAATTTTACGCTGGAACATCCTATAGCAGGATCATAATCTATTGTAAAAAATTGTTTGACATACTGGCCTAGCTGGGGCTGCATCGTTGATCGGTCCTGTTTAAGTTACTTGATGTTGCATTTTCCTTAAAATTGAGAGACTTACAGCTCAGTTACTAACAGCACAGTTCTATCAGCCTATTTACAAATTAGCATGATTTTTTAACAATATTTTGAAAGATAAGGTGAATTACACCTTTAATCCACAAATATAGAATATATATTTTTCTATCTTATAAATCTTTTATTTCAACTCTTCTTGGCTTACAAAAAGAATCACAGTCTACTGAAACTGATGTACCATTTGATATTTATTGATAATTGTGTTCTCAAATCAACAATGAGAAAACACTGCTATTTGAAGTTTAAAAAAAATGTTTCACAGCCCATAAGTGAACATGTTTAACATCTATTGAACTCTGTTTGTGTACAGTCATTTTCAAATATTTGCAGATCCATAATGATCAGGGAGCCGCTCTGACTGATTTATCTTCACTTTGTTGCTTTAGTCTGCTCATTTAAAACAGTATGGGTCATTTATTCTGTCCATTATTTCTTCTGTCGGCTGTTTTTAAGCACGTTTCTGTCAGATTTTCTCCCTACAGCTTTGTCGTTTGGTGGACATTAAAGTTTATAATCTCTTTTACAAGCACATAAAGTAAAAAAAAAAAAAAAAAAAAAAAAAGAGTATTTAAAAAGTTGTTTTCCATCCAGCAGCCCCTCCACAAACACACTGAGCATTGTTAGCTTTTATTTGCATCCAAATCATGTCTGTGAATGAGCTATTCAAAGGAGCTGCCGAGCACTCGCAGGAAATTGCTTTAGCTGCTGTTTGTGACCTCGCTGATGTTTGGCTGTCAGGCTTCACGCTACATTAAGAGTCGTCTCGCCCTGTTTGCACAGACGGGTCTGTATAGATGGTGGTGTGTGTGTGGAGAGAGGGCTGCCTGTTTGAATGCACGTTACAATAGAAATGAAACAAGTGCATGAAAACTGAAGGTGGCCACAGGTTATAGAGAACATCAGATAGAGGAACATTTCAGCCCTGTTTGTACAGCACAGATTTTTCTCCAGGTTTTGTGTGCAACAACAAATACTGTAGGTGTGTGTTTTTATTGGTAATAATGTAAGTCATTTCTTGTGCACAAAAATAAAATAACTGAGCAGAAAATGAAGTTTTCATGTATGGAAAGACCACAGAGACATATAAGACTGTGTGAACTGTGCTGAAACATGCAGCACAAGGAGGGAAAGTATTTGTATTAATCGACAAACATTTATTTACCTTTACATTTAACCTGCTGAAGGAGACTGAAATATCATATCGCATATATTTCAGAAAAAACTTTGCCTCTGGAATTACATTGTTTTAAGCCTGTGCAGCACTGTAGCTGTCTGTTCCTGTTTAACACTTCTGAGTTGTGCTTCATCAGTAGAAACTGACTCGTTTTTATCTTCTCCACTCTGCAGGTTGTCACATGACTCCCCCACTTCAGTCTGTTAAGCTCAAACTAACAACAACTCAACTTCAGGGCGGCTGCTTTCCTTAACTTTTGCATGAGCTGTCTCAAGATAATGGACATTTGTTTTCCAGGCAAATACACAGGCAAATACACACAGTGTGCACTCAGACTCTTTACACACGGAGAACAAGGAAACACTCTGAGACCATGTTTACCAATTACTCTTGGACTATGACCTATATAACATGACGAGCTCAACACCGATAGATTGGCTGTTTCTTTACACTGAATTTTAGAGTGTGTTTGGATCAGACTGTGAAAGAGCTGAGTGAAAATTCATCTCTCACCTTGAAGTCTCTCTGTTCAGAGCTCTGCCGGTGAAGTTTGGTACACTCAGAAAAGTCTGACCATTGTCTACTTAAAAAAAATGAAGGCAACAGATGGCACTTCATATGATTGGTTAGATTTGAAGTGTACGGGGATTAAAACCAAATAGTTTCCACTGAGTGGCATTTATTTATTTTTGAACATTGTTGATTTAACTGATAAATTATAAGTGAATTATACTGTGATTTTCAGCTCATATTATTACAATAAAAATAAGAAAAATGCAACTGATAAATGATTCAAAATTGATTAGATTAACATAATAATTTCCCAAACTGTACACAGTCATTTTTCTAGGTTATCAGTATTTCATTTGTAAATATTAATTTTGCCCAGTTACACTTTTTAGAGTAAGGAGGAAGTGAGGAGGAAGTTATCAGGCAGGATGAGTTTCTTTCTGTAGATACTTTAACTTAAACTTTCTTTAGATACATGCATAACTATTGACAGGAAAAGTTATTTGAGCTTGATTGATCACTTCTGGACTTTTAAACTATGATTGTCAGTCAACTTTATTGGTATGGATTGTGATATAACTTCAAAATCCCAAGACAAACCAAACAACTCAGGTTGGATATTTAAAAACTGTCTGATGATACAGAACGTAACAATTCCAAATGTTTAAACCCAGTTTTGAATTTTAAACTGGCAAAATAAAATAGAAACAATAAAAATGTCCCTGTAGCGAGGCATCAATAGTCAAGCAGTCTAAGCATGAATCCATTGCACAGGGGTCATGATTCTCAAGTGGATTTCCCAGGTTTCTTTCCAGCCTGCAGCCTTTTCCTATATGTCACTCCCTGTTTCCTGCTCCGTCTGCTGCCCTGTCCTTTCAAAATAAAGTCATAGAGCCTAAAGGATAAATGAAAAAAGATAATCTTGCAATATACATGTTATTTCTGATTATACTGTCACTGTGCTCTCTTAATGAACTATCCTTTGAGTTATTTACCTCATTATCAGTTCAAACATGGTTTGTATGTCTCTAAACCCCCTCTTCTCCTCCCAGCTCACTGCTGTGAACTAGATGAGGTTTCTGTCCTGTTTTTAGAGGATCCCTGTTGAAGATTTGCTGCTGCAAAATATTTCATTGTCCAAGGGATTCCTGGAAAGTGACAGAAAGTTCCGTAATGACATACATATCTGATGATTGCATCAGGGGAATTTACAGGAGGATGACTCTGCTGAAATTCCTGTGTTTTTTTTCTCTCTTCCCATTCATACGAGTAAAGATGTTACACCCAGCATCAAAAGTTCAACTACTGCCTCACAAACATTCAAGGTTCCTCAACGACATGCACACAGAGTCTTTGTTACATCAAACCCCAGACAGAAAGGTAAGCTCATTCTTATTTTGGTTTATAGGTACACACAGCAGTGACTGTGTGTCGTTTCCTGGTGCAGCTGTGAGGTTTGAAGCTTTATGTAAACTTGTTTGTTTAGAAACCCAAACCAAAAGCTGTGGGCACTGATGGTATTCAGCCGCCCACAAACAGTTCCAGTAAGAAACTCCCACTGAAACCACCAACTGTTATTTCAACAGCTGTTTCAGCACGGACAACGCAAACCAGTGTCAGACCACATGTTGAGCACAGAGCTTCAGAGATGCTCTTCCATGAGTGTTTTATTTATTTGACTTTGACAAGATTTAAGTTGAACTCTGAATAAACGCAACAGAAAGTCCCAGTCTTACAAAATCTCTATCCACCCTCAGTGAGCTCTGACCGGGATTTCTAAGCCGGATAAAATTCTAGTTAAAAAAAAAACAAAAAGAAGAAGAAAGAATTATTTTTCAGACATTAAGACCTAATGTCACCACTTTAAAATATAAAAATGCATCTTGGTGTTTTAAGACACCTCTTTTTCTTACTATTTTTAATAAACAGTTAACTTCAGGAGTGAAAGTGATTACTTTCACTCCTGAAGCATTTTTCTGTTATTTTACAGATGTGGTTTACATCCCTTTGACATAGAAATCTATTATAACAAATTAAATTTTGGAAAGCAGCTTGCCTTTCACTGTATGCACTTTGAGATCTGTTTTATCAGCTGTAAAGCGCAATATAAATAACATGTATTATAATTATTATCTTTATTATAATTATTAAAGAGTTTGGCATCCCACATACGCATGGGGAAGGTCAGGAAGCTCTCTCAGAACACAGCCATACCTGCAATAGAACTTACTGCATGAAAAAAGGTCAAAGTTAGAGAAAAGTGGTGCTAACAAGCTTTGGTTAAATGGGACTCATGCATGTGTTATCTCAATGTGCACTGACTGAACATGTGCAGTGTTTTCTCCGCATGTTAACCAGTCAAATGATTGCAGATCATCTGACCTTGCTGGCCACAGTAGCTTGGCGTTTGAAGGTTTCGAGGCACCATAAAGAGCACAGATTTAAACATTCCCCACAGAAGTTGTGAAAGAAGTCTGGGACTTTGGTCTTGAAGCTCAGACTATAAAGGTAAAAAAGACCCCTGACATTCATTGATAGAGGGCAGAGGTGGTGGAAAACCGGATGACTGACTATGTCTGTCTCCAGATAGTTGAGAAAGAAACCCTGACTTTGTAGCCAATTTTCAGTGGTGGTTATAGACAACTTTGAAATGTTTCCCAAAACAACACTTAGCAGGGTTAAAAATCAGGGCCACACACCTGCACATATACAGCTATCCGGATTTGCACACCAATAGGCTGATATGTATGATGATGGCAGGTGCAGTCAAACATGAAAACTGCCAAAATAGGTGTAAAAAAACATAATTCGATTACAGTTAGTTTTCTAAAGACCAAGAAGAAATAAGAAATCGAGCAACAACCAAGAAGACTTCCCATCACATCATCCTGATCATCATCACTGTCCACCTGAAGAGGGTGAAATGGAGCATAAAGAAAAGGGAAACCTGACCCCCTCACTGCTTCTGCGGAGAACACGAGACAAGCAGGGCGGGGGTAAATCAGGGTCAGGTGAGGAGTTTACCAGGATGACTGGAGGCTGATGAGGAAGGATGGAGGTATAGACAGAGCTTAGGATGCCTGCAGCATGCCGATTAGACGGAGGTGGAGGGAGTGAGTAGGGGGGGCTCTGCTTGAGACTGTGCGTGTCTTGGGACAGACCCCTCTGACCCTGGGGCCTCAGCACTGTCAGGATCATTTAGCCTGGTGGGCTGCAAGCTCTCCCCTGTGGTTTCCTGCAGACTCAAAGGACAGACTTATGTTGGTGCAGACGCACACATACATACACATTCACACACACACCAAAAGCACACTTGCTGACACACTGCAAAGACACAAATTCCTGGATAGTTCCTGGATTTCTTCTGGCTTTGAAACTGGTCCTAACAGAAATCATGATTCATCGACTGATCGGTTGTGATCTCTGTAGAAGACTACAGGATTAACAAACAATGTGGGAATCAGAGTTGATACAAGTCTGCAAAATCTTTACTTTAATAAAGGTTCAGATACTTGTCATTGAGGTTCTAATAATAGTAAAAAATTGGGTCCAACCATCCACTGTGCATAAATCTAAACAGTGTACTTCCAAAAATACTGCCTCTAAGGGAAGTCACATGATGAGCTGGCATGTAAAGCCACAAGACTGCTTACACAGCTCCTCTAAAGTTTCCCAGAATACACATAAAACTCTCGTCAAAGCTCCTTCAGGAAGATCCAAACCACCTAAATGCTTCCTAAAGTTGGTGCAGTTGACCTTAAATCTCTCATAGGTGGGTACAATCCTCCTTAAACCTCCCTTCGGTTGATGGTCCTTCTCAAGTCTCCATCAGGTGTGTCCAGACCATCTTAACGCCTCTTCAGGAGAGTCCAGTCAACCTTATGTTATCTATAGGTGATTCCAGTCTTGGTCAAAGCTTTATTGAGTTTGTCCAATCCATGACAAAGCTCCTTCAGATTGGTCCAGTTAAATGCCAAGCTTCCCCTGGTGGGTCCAGTCTATGTCAAAGTTTCCTCAGGTGGCACCAGCTCACCTTTGGCTCACTCAGGTGGGTCCAATCTACATCACAGCTTCTGCAGGCTGGCCTGTTCTGTATCACAACTCCCTGAGATGGATCCAGTCCACATTAAAGCTCCCTTCAGGTGTGTCTAGTCCATCTTAAAGCCCCCACAGGAAAGTCTTGTCCACCTTAAATCTCCTCCAGAAGTGTCCAGTCCTTCTAAGAACTCCCTCAGTTTTTTAATTTTTTTTTCAGTCCAGGTAAAGGCTCCTTCACAAGGGTATAGTTTACCTCGAAGCTCTCCAAAGTTTGTCCAGTCCTCCTAAGAGCTCCCTCAGGTTAGTCCGGTCCAGGTAAAGCCTCCCTCAGGAGGGTCCAGTCCACCTTAAAGCTCTCTCATTTGGGGGTCCAGTAAACAGGTTTAGGTTTGAAGCAGCTAAACATGGACTTTTCTTTTACCAAACTCAGCTGTGATGCTTTTATCTCCTCCTTTTTAAGCACACTGTCTGCATATGATCAATTAAACCAAATACTGCACACTATAAATAAGAATAATAGGTTTAAAACGTTGTATGACATTTGTCTTGCTAATGTAAAAATGTTTCAGTCGGGGAAATGTATCTGTAAACTTTTTTTTTCTTTTCTTTTAAAGTTCATCTCTGGTGGTTATGATGTTACAATCCTCTAGTAATACGTCACTGTGTCTAATAGCTGAACAGTGAATCTTCATTATTGCATCACTGACAAGTTTACACGATTAAAGTTTCTTTTTAAACTGCCAGAGTTCTTTTTTTAAGTTTTAATGTGATATCCTGCAATATTCCTACACACAAAAGAACAACTATGTTTTGAAAACATTTCACAATTCCTAAAAATGCTGGTTTTCATGCAAACAGATTTCAAACATAGAGGAACAGAAATGAGGTTATAGTTACCACAAAAACAATCAGTATTTATCTTCATTTTGGTTTTGGATTGACTATTTTTAGCCTTTGATCAGGGACCATATCAAAAACCTGGGTCATGTGCAAACAGTGTTTTCCTACTGTATTGGCTCAAGCTTGTCCCAGTTTAAACCGTTACATTTGTTTGTTGGCTAAATAAAAATCTAGAAATCCTACTTCATTTAGCATTAAAGCTAAATGAAATATGAGTAAAACTTGATGGTTGTTTGCTTCCACCAAGAGAAGTTGAAGGTTACAGCTGTGTTTACTGCAGAATGAGAGTGTGACAGAGTACTGGACTGAGATTTATTAGGATATTATCAACAAAAAATAAGCATTAACAGGTGTGCATCTAACAGGACAGGAATCATTAACAGTGGGTCCATTTTACCAGAGAGTAGTTCTTTGTGTCTGTGCAGAGCCTGTGACTGTGTATAAACTCTTCCAGCAGCAGAACTAGCAGGTATTTGAGGGGGAGATGGTCCGTAATGGTCATGTTCTGTACAACAAAACAATAAACATAAACCAGATGGATGTAAATTTCTCCTAGGGACTGCAGAGATGTATCATGTGTTACAGTATTGACCTGCACAGAAGAGGTCCCTGATTTTAAGATAACCCACTTATTTATGAGACTTTGTCAAAGACTAAATATTGTTTTTTGTTTGTTTGTTCATGTTCATGCTCAAGTCAAACTTCACGGTTACATGAAACAGGATATCAATTCATTTACTCACATGAACATTTTCAAACACAACAACCTATAAAATGAGCTATTGCGAGTCTGGACACTACTCTAAGTGACTCAGTGTTACGACTACGCTGCACTGATTTACTCTATAAATACAAACTAAAATAACTACACCTGTTGTCTATTTCCTCAATGGTTAAAAAAGAAAAAGACTAAAATCCTGTCCACAGCAGAAGAGTTTTAAATATTTCTGTGTTCACACAGCATTGCAGAAACAGTCAGAAACACCCACATGAGCATGCCTGACCAGTGGGTTCATTAGTCTGCCATGTCAAACATTGTGAACACATGTACAGAGAGTCTCCAGAAAACACAGACTATGTTTTAAGACCTTATACAGAATAAATTAAAGACTGTAGAGTTTGATATATTTATTCATCTCTCTACAGCTAGTATGGCCAGAGAAAGACCAATTGATATATCAGGCCCCTTCAGTTTACACACGATCCAACTGTTTGCATCAGTCAATGTCTGCACTCACAAACAAATAGCATCTGCAGACACTGCAGGCTGCTTCATCAGTGAGTGATTTAACACGTCATTCAAAAAGTCAGTTTATTATTATCTTTTCAAATTAATAATAGTAATTATAACTCTGGTAGTATAGCACTTAAAAAAAAACATGCTTTGATAATGTGTATAAATGAAACAAAGCAGAAAAAAAGAAAGAAAAACAGAAACCCAAGAAAAAATCAGCTAAAACTGATGGTTCAAATGTAAGAACCCAGCAGACACCTAAAGAAGCCAACAGCGTAGCATATGAAGCTTAGTAACACACAATAAAAACAGGGAAAACTCTAGATAACCCTAAATGTACCCAGATAACACAGTAACCCAACCACAAATATCTGCCTGAAATCAGCCCAAACCTTCTGAGCATGCCCATTAAATCACATATTAAGCTTTGACAACAAAACTGAACAGCAAAAATGCTTTGAAGGAAGCTGCTCAGTGAAACAAAACCTTAACAGAAGACAAAGGGGATGTAATTAAGACAGAGCTGTTGTATCCTAACTATGAAATGTACAGCGCTGTAAAGTTGTTGGTGATGTTACTGTTCAACATACAGCACGTTAGCTTCTTGCTAACTTGTCTGGTGATTATTTTGGTCAGTGGCATTACAAGTCAACCCAGGAGATGGTCCAGTAGTAATTAGCTTAAGGGGAGCATATCACTGACTACTGACAGGGAGTGGGACGAGGACCGTAGTCTAACTAGATCACCTAACTGATCTATGACTGTAGCTCCACTTTACAGAAATATACTAAGCAGATACAGATTGTGTTTATTACAAATTCTGTGACCATGTGTAGAATAACGAAGTATATTGCTCTGACAGAAAAATCAGTCATGAAATCCTGAATTTAATTAAAAAATAAATTAAATAAATACTTTAAATAGGTAACTGGGTAAAATAAGTATGGTTATTATATTATCAAATGCATGAAATTATTTCTTTTATCATAAAATTGTATACCATCAGATGCAAACAACAATAACTGACTCTCTACTAGCTGTTGTCAATATTGGCTATGGAATAAATGATATTTTCTTCAGAATTAAACCAGGATGCATTTGCAAGGATTGTTTTTGTGTTTTAACAGCTGTTGTAACCATGACAACTACTGACACATTCAGATAAAAGTTAATACACTTAGAAACTAAAACACCAGGGGTCATGATCCTGTCTGATCTCTGCAGAGCTTCAAGTCCATGATTACAGTGTGTATGCAGACACCAGATTAGACAACAGTTAGACGTTTTGATGTTAGATTCGTTACAGTTTTAATTCAGTATTTAAAGTTTTTAAGTCTGTCTGAACAAACAGAGTAAATTGTTACTATTAAATGCTCATGCATAGGTTTAATGCCGTAGGCTACAAAGAGGTCCATATTCAGGTCAACGTGGTAAAAGAGGAAACATGTGAGGTCACAGATCCCTCAACCTTCAAGCATCAAATCCTCCTCACTTCATGCATGAGTCCAAGGGAATATTTGCACTAAATGTGAACTTTCACATCAATTTACCCAGCTCACCAGCAGATGAGTGAGTTATTATAACAGTAAATAAACTCATATTTCTATAAATCCACTTGACTCTTTGTCTGACTTCACCACCCTCCCCTGACTATAAGCACAACCAACAAGTTTCAAACCAACTTTAAACAATCCGTCTGTAAACTGTTGAGTCAAACGTGGAGCTTTACTGAAATATAAAGTGGACCGAGTGTCAGCGCGGGGATAAGGCTGCAGATGAGCGCGAGAAGAAGAATAAGACTTAAAGAAAAAGTGAGGCTGAGAGAGTGAGAGAGATGTGTTAAACAGGAGTGGAAGAGGAACAACATTATTTTAAGTCATAGCCGTCTTTACTTCAAGTAGATGGAGTGCGTCTCCATAAGCCCCGAGCTCTGCTGAAAAGCAGGAGGAAGCCTAGAAAGCCCGCTTTGAGTGTGCCTCAGAGAAACGAAGAGCGTAATCTACTTCCCCTCACTCTCCCTCCCCCTGAAGCATAACAAAGAGCCTGGCAAGAGTGTTTGTGATGCTAATTCTGCAGGAATAAATATGCAACACAATTTTCAGACGCTTTAAGAGAGGAGGGAAGACGAAGCAGAGTGGTGATGGAAAAAGAAACGCTGCTTTAGGGGGCTGCCAGGAGGGAGCAGACTAATCCGTGAACACAGTGAGAGTGGAGGAAACGGGAAATTAGAACATGCTGCTGATGAAATGGAAGAAAAAGGCTGAATAGAAGGAAGAGCAGCCAATCTCAGGTGTTAAAGCATTACCTGGTGACCGCGCTGAGGCTTACCGCTGCTCATCCTGGGAGAGATGGATGACTCCTGTCTCGCTGGAAACAATGCGCGGGAGAATCTACATCATGCCAGATCCCGCGGGACAGCTCTTATCCCCGAAAACACCTTCGTATTCATCAGGCAGCGTGTTACAAGGAAAAGCCATAATAGAACGGGCCAAAGTACTTAACATGCCCGGCTGTGTCTGAATAAAACTTTAAATGTCTGTAAATCTTTGGGTGGCCTGCTCCTCTCTCCATGCCTCATTGCTGCCTCCATCTTCATGCAGAATAAACTCTACAGAGCATACAGTAGTGCTGAATAATTTACGCTGCTGGAAATTCAACTCGAAATTTAAGAAAATGAATATGCGACGTCAGAGATAGGAGTCTCATTAAGCATGCACAAACATCTGAGTAAAAATAAACCTCCAAAACTGACTGTCAGGAAACCACATTTAACCAGCTCATTCTGGTATTTAGGCCATCAATGATGACAGTGCAAGCACGGCTGATTACACTTAAAGTGGAATCTTTATTACTCCACACATAAAAACCGAGCATGTGAAAAAAGCGGCAGACTAACTGCAGCTGAAATCTTCAATGTCAGAATCAGAAGAAGAAACAGGAGCAATCTGAAAATATTCACTTAAAATTGGTATCACAGAGTGCCCCCTCACAATATAGACAACTACTGTCTAACTCTTATTCTCCTTCTTGCTTTAACCATCTTTATATAATCCCTTTGCAAACAGCACTACTGCTAAAGCTCTAAATTCAGTCAGCTGTCATCCTACATGGCTTTTAAAAGTCATTGTTGAGACAGCTGGTCCATACATTTCAGGCATTGTCAATCAATCTTTGGCTCGTTCAACACTGTCTATCCTTGTCTTTCCCCTTCCACAGAAACCCTTCCTCAATCAAAATGTTTTCGGTAATCTCAGACTGATCTCCAAGTGACCGTTTTATCAAAGATTTTAGAAAAAGTAGTCCTTGCACAGCTGGTGTCTTTAACAAATTAGCTCTGTTTCAATTCTTCTGGCTCTCAGCTCAGCTTTTGACACTGTTGGACACAAAATTTTAATCGATCATCGGTGAACTTGGTACTTATAATGTAGCATTGGACTGGTTTGTTTCTTACTCATCAAAATTTAATTTTTGGTAAAATCGTTGGATTCTCCTCATCTTCTCCTTCTCCATTGAATCCAATTTATTCTCAAGACCAATACAATGGATATAACTGATGGTACTGCAAAGCTACACAGCATATGCAGACTATTTAACACTTATTCTACTCACAACTACTTATTCTTGATGAAATAAGCCTGTCTACATGGTCAGGAAGAAAACACACTCAGGTGGTGCTGATGTTGCTGGTACACAAAGACACCGACCAGCTTTGTGAGTTTGTGAAATCTCTCTGCATTCACTTTCCACCTGTCCGTTAGCTCTGTGTCCAATGTCCTCATAAGAAGTTCACTATATCTGGGTCTGCAGATGTGTTGCATGGCTGCGATCCTTGCTGAGTGCCTTTACTGTGTGCAACACCTTCAGCCAGTTAGTTTACATGGAAACATGCTTTTAACCTAAAACACTGAATGTATCACAGACCACATGCTGTTAATCTCTACCTGGAAAATGGAAAATCATGAAAAATGCATAGTCAAGCGCGATCTAAACTATCCCTTACGGGACACTTGATCGATTGTAAAAACACTTAGTCCACAGTGACAGCATGTCAGAATTTCCTCTGTTTTTCTCTGGTTGTATTTTTGTCTTTTTGATTCCAGCAGACCTGAACAACTGATCACTGTGCTGCAGGTGGGGGAACATGTACTGCTCTTGTATTTAAGAAAAATGCAAATACTAATGTGCTTTCTAAATGCAAGGCGCTGACAAATGTATAGATAGAGAGCACACCTGCATTGTAGTTTGTTAAAATGATCTCAATGAGGTGGCAGAGCTGACCTCCTCTAAGAAAGTTGACAGTCTAATGCTGCGTTCCAGTTGTACTTGGAAGAGTCAGAAATTCATCTGGAAGGCCCCCCTGAAGTTGGGATTTCCAACTTGGAAAGTCGGATGATCCTCACCAACCCCGACTTAATGACAATGTCATAATCCAAGATGGCAGTGCAGTGCATCAACAGTAAAGAGTAACAATGACAGCTCTTCTAATGTATTATTTATTAGCCCTTCTGTTTTATTTTTGTGAAATTAAGTAAGTGGTTTATGTTGTACTACCCAACGTCTAACTGTGACCACAGTGCTATGGTGTTTGTAGAGTAACATACTGTGTTGTGCATTGTTTAAAACTGTTATAGCTAATAACAACCAACAACCACTGACAATGGCTAACAACAACTGGCAACGGCTAACGCCAGCTGATAACTGTTAACAACAGCCAGCAACGGCTAACAGTAGGCGTCCATCTTGGTTTTCCAACTTGTTTCCTGGAACGCCGTCAACTCGGGTGTAACATCATTCTCAGCCCTGACATCTGACTTCCAAGGTAACTGGAACGCAGCGTAATTCCTGTTCTGGTGTCTTAAGAAAGAGGCAGAGCTGACCAGTTTCCTATGTGGGATACACATCAACAACTGACAAGTACATCATACAGCCCCGGTGAACAAACACTGAACTATCCCTTTTTAAGAATAAAGGCTGTTCCCTATCCTGATACAAATCTGCTTTAACTAGAGAACCATTAAACTGTGAATATTTTTGTTTCTTAAAGAGGGTCAGCCAAGTACAAACAACAAATAATAATTTGTCTGTGCCCAAACAAACTTTGCAGTCTCAGTTAAACTTTGTTTTCCATGTCACTGAGATCCAACAATGTCCTCCTCTTCAGTTTGAACCTGTGTTCAGTGCTACTGTACGGAAACTTAAACACAAGTCCCGAGTTTGTCTGTCCTCTAACTGAACTTCAGATGAATATCTGTGAAGATGAGGATAACTAAGGGTATCACCTACGTAGCTCTGGTTCAGACACAGTTGGCGATGCCCACAGTGATGAAGTCTGCAGCTATTGAAAGCAGTCCTCCAGATCTCAGTTTGAAGATCAAATCAAGCCCCCATGTTAGCAGGTTGAAATGCACGTGTTAGGACACAAAGGTTTGGGGGTCAACTGAACTTTATCAGGGTGAAGTTAGGGAGACTTCAGCTTCCTGCTCTTAGAGGAAAAGAAAAATGACAAATGGGTCCAAAGTAGAGGAAGAAAGGGGGAGGAAGAAGGGGGATTTAAACCTAATTTGAATAACCCAGATCTGAGGTGATGTACTGCAGAGTGAAGAGGGAGTGGTGATAGCCAATCCGTCAGCGGAGGGGAGGGGGGGTTAAAGAGGAGAGAATAGGGTGAGGAGATGAAAGGAGGAGGGAGACGGGATGAGGATGAGAGGGCGGGGAGGCTGTAGAGGTGAGTGTGAGGATGGAGAGAAAGATGAGAGGAGAGGGAGGTGGGTGAAGGAGATAGGGGCTCAGGCGGTGAGAAGATTAAAGCCACTTCTGTACGGCGCTGGCCCCATTAATGTTTAACAAAACGCCGAGCACGTCGAGATTGCCCCCCTGTCCTCCCCCATCCTCCGGTGATCCCTTTGAACCTGCTCAGGGCCACACACGCCACGCTGCAAGAAGACACGGAGGATGAAATATTTACAAAAGGCAATCATTTGTTTATGTCCCTGACAGGAATAATTGTGATGAATGTTTTATTCATGCTGTATTGTTTATCCCCGCACTGTGCAGAGAGGAAGAAGAAGAAAAAGACAAAGACGACAGAGAAGAAGAAGAAGAAGAAGGAGGCCGTCTTTGAATGTCAGGACAGACAGCCAATTATGGAAGTGTGATCCTTTTGTGCTGCCGCCTGTTTGAGAGGACGCCTTTTGTGGCTCGTCTTTCAAAGAAACAAGGAGCCCTCGTTTCTTCTGCCTGGAGGGGAGGAGGGGGGAGGCGAGGGGGCTGAGTGTCACCAGCTCGCCTAATTGGCTGACACTGAGCCTTCCTGATAGGTGGGGGAGTGCTGAGGAAGAGGAGGTGGAGAAGAGGAAAAAGGAGAGGAGGACCAAAGGTGCAGCGAGAGGAGGTAAAGACAGTGTTTACCGAGCCGCACTGATCGCAAGTGATGTTCAATTTAGCTGTGTGACAGGAGGAAACGCCATCCAGCACGCATGTTTACATCACAGAGGATTCACAGGAGACCGCGCTGCTTTTACTACACTGAATAACACATGTAATGCGGTAATCAGACACAGATTACCAGCTTATTATGAAGTCCACATGTAACATGGAGTCTAGGAGGGTCAGTTTACACACTTAACCTCATATATTACAGATTAAAGCCGGGTTAAGGTCAGTATCTTAGCTGCTTAGTCAGGTTTGATCAGACTTCATTGGTGTTTGTAAACAGTGGTTTGGAGGGTGGTGTCAAAGTGGTTGCAAAAAGTTAGCTTGCAGCAGATTGTGTTAAATGCCCATCAGAAAGTTGTGAACCAACTGGATGTCTCCTTGTTGGCCTATTCACTGTCAGGTCTCTGGTGAAAGAATCCTGGGGTTATAGTCCCTAGATATCTGTGAAGACCTCATTCAGTAACCAAGCATCTTATATAAAAAAAATAAATAAATGAGAAATTGGTGGTGATCATGACTGGGAGGTTTAATACAGAGACTTGTCAGAAGGTTTTTGTGTGTTATGGACTGACCCATCATCCAAAAAAAGGACATAAAACAGCCTTGTAAACATATAATTAAAGCTAACAATGATAAAGTAAATAATAATAATATTCTTTATTCATAGCACACTTTTCAAAAGGGATCAGCCAGCTTGTATCATAAACCAAACCTCTTGACAGGAAACATGAAATCACTGTAAAAGACATGTTAGGCTAAACAAAATCAGCAAAGGTTACAAAAACCCGTTTAAAGAAGAGACTTAAACTCAGGGTATTTTTGGGGGTAACAGGCCGTTGGTGCTCCATCATCCTGTGTTACAAAGCGTTTGAAACCTCCATCTTGATAACTTGCAATCACTGGCTAGTCCTTCAAAAAAAGGAAAATAATTTCATCTTTTGCTCAACTTGCTCAATCGCCTTCCAGCCTGAGTGAAAGGTCCACTGATTGAAAAGGCTTTTCGCAAATATTTTGGTTGGTCCACATGGCTCTAGATTCGCTCAAAGAACACAGATAGGACAGGAGTGCAGGCCCTTCTTTGGAGAAGCACAAGCAGAGTGGCGCAGCGGAAGCGTGCTGGGCCCATAACCCAGAGGTCGATGGATCGGAA